CACATTCTAATTTTGTTTGATTATATGTTATGTATGTATTGATTATACTAAGTAAACCGATATACCTAAGCACAACATGTAAACTATTTTTTTTAATAATCATTGGATATCCGAGTAGTGTTTAGTTCAACTATTGTTTATCTGGAGCAAATATTTTTTTCGTTACATTCTATATGTTCACTACGGCCATGTTTTGTTTTTTTACTTTCTAAAAAACCTAATAAACCTTTCTAATGTTACTAAAATGCCCAGATATATGTTTTTCTTTATTTTTTAAATGTTTCGTGGTTATCAGTGCGAGCTTCAGTTCTCTCTTTTGGTTATCTAGCTCAGTCGTAAGGGCACGGCGCGACAGCAATAGATCGTAACCTAACCTAACCTAACCTATGCTTCGAATTTCTTGCAGTCGGATATAATCTTAATGTTAGAATAGGTAAAAGTTGTATTGCGTAAGTAATATTTATTGCTTATTGACAAATTGATGCCAATCTGTTTGTTAAGTATGGCAATTAAGTAATAATTTTCATATCATAATTCAAATTACCGGTTGAGCTGTCTTGAGTAGTTTTTTTTAACTCAGTGAAGAAAATGAAAAGGAAAAAGGTAGAAAAAATAAATAAAAGTATAATAATATGAGCCGTGGTAGCTCAGATGGTTAACGCTCGCTGTAAATATAACAGAACGCGTGTAACCCGAGTTCGATCCCCGCCGGCACCAATGAAATTGTTAATTGCAATTTTAAGTGCTGATTTACCACGTGCTCGGCGGTGAAGGAAAACGTCGTGAGGAAACCTGCATATCTGAGGAATAAGAGAAAAAAAAATTATTTCGAAGACATGTGAAGTTCGCGAACACGCATTGGGGCAGCGCGGCGGACACTTCCTTGCCCTAAAACCCTATCACAAATCAGGGGAGGCCTGTGCCCAGCAGTGGGACATATATAGGCTGTAACTTTACTTTTATAACAGTATACAAAAAAAGAACGTACTTTTATAACAAACGTTTTAACTAAATTAATACATATTTTTCTGATCAGAAATAGATCCTATTGAAAACAATAATTTTACCTAAGCCAAAGTCAGCAATATTAGTCACAACAACTTCTAACAACGATTAGTCAATGTATGACTCCTATGGAGAATTAAAAACATTATGATTCAACTGTTACTCTTAATTGTAAAGAATGTGACACAAGCAACGCACTCCCATGGACGACTTGGTTTCGAGACTCGGAGTACCCAACATCTGGAGGCATCTGGTTTGATTAAGATTGAGCTAGGATCGATCCGGTTTATTCCGCCCTTAGTCCATCGCTATTGCATGTTATCACTAATGTCTGAAACAACGCAGCTCAGCGCCGCACTACGATTCTCTCAACGCTTGAATTGTTTGTGATTTTTTCCGTTATGATAAGCTCGATTTGAATACAATGGAAATAAACGCAATTTTAAGGTATTATCGCTGGATTCAGTGCCGTATTACGTTATAATTCTTAACATTACGTCAGTAAAAACAATAAAATATATAGTAATTAATACTTAAATATAAATAGGTTGTACTACAGGTAATTAGTATTTGTTTTAATATTTTAAATAACAAGAAATAAGTTTTGACGTTACGATGTAATCGGTGATCTATATACTTAATTAAACTTTTAATGAAACAAACCAACTTAAGAACTTAAAAACAATTCTCATAATAGGTATATTATGAGGTTTGCACTTTTTATAGCATTATTTTATTGACCCTTTAGAGTGGTTTAAGGCTTAGAGTATAAATAGTCATAGCTTGCTTATAAATACTCAAAGGGTTTAAGGTCATCGCAAGTTTAAGGTAACACTCGTCTAAATAGTTATAATAAAGTCTTCATTCCCATTTCGTACTTCTAAGCCATAGAATCTTTTCTATTTATTTATATAGGACCACCTCTGAAGTATAGCTTAATTAATGAAATAAATAATTTAAATCGTTTCAGCCATTTTCGATAAATCGGTGAACGTACATAACAATATAAACATACGATTTACGCATACAGATCCATCTCGTTTTCAACTGGAAAGGAATGTAACATATAAATTCTCTTTTTGTCTATGTCACTCTTTCTATCTTAGGTCTTTAAAAAAATAAACTACTTATTTAAAGTTTAAAATCACGTAAATTTAATATTCTAAAACGTTCTGAAATTAACTTTATTGTTTGACGATCAGCTTGTTGGTTTTGAAGTATGGCTGTGTTGTGATTGTTCTTCTGATCTTATCACATAAGAGTACGTACATCTGTGAAATAATATATCCTGTATAGTTGATAACATCTGCCGTGATGGATCTCGATCTGAAAAGTAGAACGTGATCACAAGCATTCTTTACTCTTCTTTAAAACCTCTACATTATGAACTTCTTTTTTAACTCGGAACTGTTTCACATGTACATATATAAATTGCACATAGACGAGCCCTGTGGATATAAAAGTAAAGATTAAAACGATGGTTTATTTAACGCGCATAGCCATGGTCATGGCGCCGTTACCAACGGCTTTTTTTTTCTTTTTTTTTTAGAATTAGGGTGACAAACGCGCACAAAGTCCACCTGATGGTAAGAGGATGGTGTGCAGATGCAGATGCGTTGTCACCCCTGAGGACTAAGATAGAGTACCCCGTTCCAGTAAAACGGGTCTTCGGTTCTCTACACTCACCGTACGAAACACAGCAGCATCAAGCTCCTATTTTACGCTTATAGCCACAGTTTTAACCTTTACTTTTATATCCACAGGGCTCGTCTATGTGCAATTTGTATACATGTGAAACAGTTCCGAGTTAAAAAAGAAGTTCATAATGTATAGGTTTTAAAGAAGAGTAGGTAAATAATGTTTGTGATCATGTTCTACTATTCTGATCAATATCTATCACGGCAGATGTTATCAACTATACAGGATATACTTTTTCACAGGTGTACGTACAGTTATGTGATAAGATCAGAAGAACAATCACAACACAGCCATACTTCAAAACCACCAAGCTGTTCGTCAAACAATAAGGTTAATTTCAGAACGTTTTAGAATATTAAATTTACATGATTTTAAACTTTAAATAAGAGTTTATTATTTTAAAGACCTAAGATAGAAAGAGTGACATAGACCGAAAGAGAATTTATATGTTACATTCCTTTTTGAGTCCGTTGAAAACGAGAAGGATCTGTATGCGTAAATCGTATGTTTATATTTTTATGTACGTTCACCGATTTATCGAAAATGGCTGAAACAATTTAAATTATTTATTTCATTAATTAAGCTATACTTCAGAGGTGGTCCTATATAAATAAAAAGAAAAGATTCTATGGCTTAGAAGTGCGAAATGCTTATCAGTAGCAGTTTTTCATTGCTTAAAAACACGGCGAAAACATTTTCTAAAAATGAATCCTTGCTGGATCGATTTATTGCCTCCGAAACCCCTTGGACACTAAATCTTATCAAAATCGTTGGAGCCGTTTCCGAGATTCCGATATATATATACAGGGTGTAAGTGTAAACACCGTTGTCCTTGAAACCAGTGGTTTGTTTTCACTTATAGAACGTAAATTCAATGAAAAATAACAACATTTTTTTTAGTAAAATCTCAATTTTTCCTTAATTCCTCAATTTTTACGAGTCCTAAGCCAGGATGAAAGTGTGAAGGAAAAGTTAAATCACAGGTTATGTGTACCTACTGTATTTTTATGTTGAATGTTGTGTAGGTAGCTAGCGCGGGCGGTGATCTTTACAGTGATTACGTCCCTCGGGCGCATAGGGTATCCATGAATTTACGGACGGTGTCGGACAGAAACTTTTTAAATTTTATGAAAGAGAATGACGTTTTTTTTTAAATTCATTAAATTTACGTTCTATAAGTGAAACCAAACCACTGGTTTCAAGGACAATGGTGTTTACACTAACATCCTGTATATATATATATATATATATATATATATATATATATATATATATATATATAAGAATTGCTCGTTTAAAGGTGTACGATATGCATACTATATAATGTGTTCAATGTTATATGTAAGATAAAATAACCACCGCGGAATTTTATTAATAATAAGTTAATAAGTATGTTACGAGTATAAGAGGCCGGAACATAGAAATTGAATTGGTGACAGAATTGTTTTATGTTAGCGCATAGACTACAATACAACCCACAATATGTTTCTTAATTATTTAATTACTACAATTTTATATAGATTAAAGCAATTATCGACTAACCGGAATTGGAAAATCACTAGGTAATAGTAATTGTTGATCTGAGCCATGCTTTAAAAATAAATTGCCGTGCCACGTTAAAGTATAGGAACTTGTAGTATCGTATTTGCGGCAGCCATTTAAGCGTGACCAAAATAAAGAAAGGAAAATGCTAACTGGATTAGTTGCGTTTGCAATATAAATTGCATTCTGTTAAACTGATTATAAAATTTATAATCACATATTGATTAATCATCAATCATAGCATTAATCTCCGAAATGGCTGAACCTATTTTGACGGGACTTTCACTGGCAGATAGCTGTATAAAGAGTAAAAGGCTACTTTAATTTTAGAAAAAGAATTAAGGTACCGCGCAAAAAAATTAAGATCCTCAATTACACGCGGGTGAAGTCGCTAAGTATAGCTAGCAAGAAGCTAATCTGTATGTATCCCTTATGAGATCGACTGATTTCAAAATCGGCCTAAGAAGACATCACATAAGTGTCCTTTTTCAGTTTATTAATATTTATAGCATAACTTATAATAAATATAGTCCTTTAGTAGGATTTAACCAAATTATACGTTTGTAAAACATATAGATATCGAAGCCATGTGAAATTCGCCAAGACGCACTGGGACAACGAGGTGAACATTTCCTTGTTCTAAAAACGATCTCAGAAAGGGATCTCAAAAAATCTGTGCCCAGGAGTGGTACTTGGCTGTAAGACTGTAATTTTAACTTCATAATGGACAAGTCTGCCTTTCTTTTTGCTTTCAGGTACTACCGTTATGTATAGTACTATTTTATGGAATATGTTTAGAATATACACTGGCGTCGCCCAATTTAACAAAGTATAATATTTCAAGACCAAACAACGAAGATTTGACATACAGAAAAGAGATACCTACGAGTGAATTATTTCACTGGGAGGATTACAGCGTGCTGGCCACTATGCTTGTAGTTTCTTGCGCTATCGGCGTTTTTTATGGATACTTTGGGGAGAAACAGACAACTGGTGACGATTTTCTTCTAGGCGGCTCTTCAATGGGCACTTTTCCTATGGCCCTGAGTCTGGCTGCAAGGTATTACCGACAGTTTAACACTCTATCCCTATAATATACTTAGAAAAACGTTCTATTTACGTTAACGTTCCAGAGAACTTTTTAACGGTTAATAGCATGGACTCTAAATTTTGTATTTAAATTTAATTTTGTTTGCTATACATGATCTTCATCATAATCTACTGCTGCAGACAGGATAGTCTCCTTACGAAGGAAGTCCTCAACAGCTATAGTAAACTTTATGTTTGGTTCAGAATTTACCACACCATTAAAAGAAACAATAGATTATTTAAAAATAAAAATTTATAAATGAAAATTATTAGAGTAAGTTATTCTATCATACTGAATAGTAAAACTATTTAACAAATATTTTGTTTAATTTATCTTTACATTTGTACTTTTGTATAATTTGTCTTTACATTTTAATTTGTCTTTACATTTAGCAGGGATGGGAGATATGATAAGGATATAGAACGACGAGTAAATGCAGGGATTAGAGTGAATGGGGCACTATACTCTGTTATGAAGAACCAGAATGTGTCAAAAAAGGCACGTATGGCAATTCACAATGCTGTGTTGGTCCCTACTTTAACGTACGGTAGTGAAAGTTGGGTGTGGTAGAAGAAGCACGAGAGTAGAATAAACGCAGTAGAAATGCGGTCGTTAAGGAGTATTTTAGGGCTGAATCTGAATGACAGGGTAAGAAATTATGTAATAAGAGAAGAGTGTGGTTTGCAAGATGATGTTGTGACTAGGATTAAGAAAGGAATGCTTCGGTGGTTTGGTCATGTGGAAAGAATGAATGAGGAAAGAGTGACAAAGAAAATTTATGTTGCAGAAGTGAATGGCAGAGTCGGAAAGGGACGTCCTAGGCGAAAATTTATCGACCAAATTGATCGACTTATTGGAAACGGGCCAAATTAGGAGTACCCTTAACCGACGAGCATGTATGCGTAGGTGTATGGTTGTGAAGGAGGCGAGAGAGGTGTGTCAGGATCGTGCCAAATGGAAATCTGTAGTCTCTGCCTACCCCTCTGGGTGACAGGCGTGAGTGTGTATGGATTGTCTTTACATATTGTGACAACCCTACCAAAATAGGTAGGTAACAATTTTGCGCGTTCTGAAGATTTGTCTCTGTTTAGTTTGTCTAATAATAATAATGTGGCGTAGAAATTGTTGTAGACCTGTAGTGCTTGCGGGTGTGTGCGCGATTATGTATGCGTATGCGTGTCTATGTGTGTGTACATGCGTTCGTGCACGTGTGGGTTTATTCGTCGTTTTTTCTGTTCAGAACTAGGAAGCATTATTATTGCCCAGGATTATATAATGTATTTAAAAATGTGTTCTTAGGCGCATCCTGTCATTTCTCTAGCAGTAGATTCGGCAGGCTAATTATTTGAATCATAAAACTTATTTTCCATATATCCGATATTCCCAACCTCCTCGCTGCTCTCTTTCTATGAAAAATATAATCTCCTTTAAGAGTAATCTAGCGTCAGGTGAAATTATGATAGCAAACATTGGCCTATCAGCAATTAAAAAAAGCATAATAAAAATTTTGAATAATTCTATTGCCTGAACGCATAAGTAAATAGGTAATAAATAAAAATGAGTAAACCTACATAGGTAGGTAGGTACCTCAAACTTTATTCAGTGCACAAAATCTGTTTTATAACTTTATGATGTGCATCGAAATAGTAAATTATTGTAATTTTAACTTCAACAAGTTAGTTATTTCATTGCTTTTTCCCAACCGATAAGTAGTTAAATTTGGGCTAGTAAAATCGTGCGCTTTACATTTATTACATATATCATACTTAATATTTTACACCATGTAGAAAATCAAAAAATATATATTTATGATAGGTTTTGTAAAAATAAAGGAGAAATATTGATTTCTATTCATAAAATGCATTATAAAATTTTATTCTTTTATCCGTGCCTCAAATCTCCCAAACGCTATCCATCATATTAGAATCCCTCGTGACGTCACTGGTTAAGTAATCTAGCTAATGTGCTGTGTGTTATTTCGAAATGTTTCAAGTTATCATTATGATTTTTATTCCGAATTTTATTCCGTATTGAGCTTTATTCCGAATTTTATTGAAAAGGATTTGTAAAAGCAGATAGTAATAATCTACCAAGAATAAATACATGGCAAAATTTTTTTGCATGTACCTAATGTAAGTAACGATTACCAATTTTTGTTTATACAATAACGCAACACCCGACCGAAGTATATTTTTATAATACATACTCGTAGTTATGTTTATCTATGATTAGAATCATTAGCAATAATTAGTTATAATATCTAAGATAACCCAATCTATTACAAAATTTTACTTGCAATACCTATCACCTCATGATGTTTTGTTTTGTATAAACAACAGTTAAATATTAGTCTATATTACATCAAAATGTACACAGAAGTATAGTCTAGTTTTTGTAAACAATGTATTCGGGTATTTTCTGACCAGTTTTATTCAAGTATTTCTCATATTTAAATCAGTTGGCACTTGAATTCATAACTTCCCCGGCATTCTTACCCAACTCAATATTAAACATCCAAAAATATTATTCCTATGTAAAATTATGGGTCAGTGACGTCACGAGCTTAACAGTATGGCGGCTAGCGTTTTCATGCGAAAATTTATAAAGATAAATTAAAAGCAATTTTTATGGCATTATTCGGTTTACAATATTTATACACTCTAGGATTAATTTAAAACAGTATTTGAAAATGGGTTGTAATACCCTATTATGGGTGACAAACACAAAATCAATCTGATGGTACGAAGTGGTGTGGCTCATAGACACCTATATTTTTTCTCAATTAAAACTCGAATGCCCGAGGACAAATTCATTCGGTTCGTCAGTCATTCAGTCATTCACCATGCACCATGCAGCAGCATCATACTTTTATTTATCGCTGGTATTTTGTGCGAGTGTGGCTTTTCCCCGGTCAAGCTAACTCATTAGTACTGCAACCATAGTACGCTGCATCGTAACTCTCTTCCACGTAACAAATAACCCTTGTGGATCTTTTCATATTTGAATTTCTGTTATCCTACCGACTTGAGCCGGATATATTGGTAAAATTTTAGTAGTAGTACTATTAAGGAAACTTTATCTATAATTTCTAATTCAAAGTATCTCCACAACATATTTCGATATTAATGTAGTCTTTTTTAGTATAATAGGCATTGTCATCGGGATTCAGTCGGGGTCAACGTTTAGGCCATAACATATGACGAACTGATGGTTTTTCAACAACATAAAATGCATGGTTAAGTTGGTAGAGAAACCCTGTCTTTGAAAATGCATCCGAATGTATCTATAATCATATAATTATTAGCTTTACTATTGGCATTAACACCTTTTCTGCTGATTTAATAAGATATTATTTGACATTGGCACATTATAACTTATATTATATAGAGCGATAGTCTCTTCTATAGCAAATGCCATAAATATGTATTTTTCACTCAGAGACTCATATTTGCGCCACTTACTCAATTCAGGTGGCTCTGAAGCCGCGCTGGCTCTAAAATAGGTACCTTTGAGAAGAAAGGCTGCCAAAGTGCGTCATACACTAGGGTTTTACCTTTCTCCGAAGGGACCTATGTCGTACCATCGGGTCTCTTGCCATCGTTTCTAAATATTCCACAAAGCTTTAAAATCAAGGGAACATTTATAGAGACAATTCTTCGAGACAGCTCTTCGAATGACTTCGTTCAAAGAACAGTGTCGTTTAAACCTACCTAAAATAAAATAACCACGATTATTGTCCATATGACAAATTAAAAATTTGTTAAAATATAAGCAAGAAATTAATAATTATGCTTACGCTATTTAACCGGTAAATAGTTCATATATTATGTGAATAAAAAATTATGATATTTTCCATAATATATTATAGATAATACCTACTACGCCCTTCTAAGAGACAATCTGTGGAGGAGAGGTAGTACATTTATAGGCTATATATATATATATATATATATATATATATATATATATATATATATATATATATATATATATATATATAATACATCCCATTTACATATTTTTAATTAAATTGTACTTATATCAATTAATCATTGAAGTATTTAGTACATATTACTTCAATGCAAATTAATATCGTTTTTATCATTTCAGTTTCATCACAGCAATTGAACTTTTAGGCAACCCGGCCGAAATGTACATGGCAGGTGCACAGTTCTGGATGATCTGTATAGCTTTTGTATTGGTAGTGCCGATAGCAAGCCAACTTTATTTGCCAGTGTTTATGAGGCTGAGATTAACATCCTGTTATGAATATTTGGTAACAAACTGCAATATATTTATTTTACTTAAGTAGGGTATAAAAGCTCTGTATTTTTTTCCTCGTCTCTACAGCTTATTACAAACACTTTATTAATTAATCATTATTTATTTATAATTTACATTTGATTTCCGTGTGATTAATGAACATAATAAAGAGTTTCCTTTATTCGGGTAATGATATATGAGGTGAAATTAAAACGTCGAGGCGAGGTGCTAGACGTGCTATGTGGTGGAATAACGACTCGGAAACGGGCCTAAAATAGGTACTCAAACCTAACAAATTTTTAGTCGCTATCATTAAAATCCTTTTGAAAAGAGACACCTCTTGGAGGATGTATTTGCGTTCTAGACATCTAATAAGGAATTTAATAATTTTATTTTATTAAAATTTAATAAAATTTAGTTCCCTTACGATTAATAAGCGATAACTATCGACCGACACGAGCTAAGCAGTCAAAGGCAGGGGTCACACAACATCACAGAGGCGACATGATTATTGTTAACAATACCAAATCATAAACCATCATAATCGTCATCCTTATCACCATTGCCTTTCCATTTTAATCAGTTCGCCTGAGTCAGATGACAGATTCATCTGACTAAAAAACTAATGGGCTAACAGCACCGACATCACAGAAAAATATAAGCGATAACAGTAGAACTGTAAACTGTGGCTAAAAAAAATCGGCGATGAAAGAATAATTTTTTTTAATTTGTGCGCTACTTTTTTCTCGCATTTTATTACATTTTAAAATTAAATAGTACCTGTATTAAATTTTTATTAGTTAAAATTGTTCCTAAATAATTGGCGACATTTTTTTTTTGCATGCACGTCTTATTTTCTCCTCTACAAATTTTTGGTAAATTACGCCTAATTCTAATAATTATACAGTTAATAATTGTCTTGTCTCTTAAACTTGTATTGTATGTGTGAAATGCTTTATTGAGTTTTTTTTTCAGGAAATTCGATTTTGTAAATCCATTCGTGTTTACGCAAGCGCGCTGTATATGATGCAGATGATATTATACACCGCAGTGGCAGTTTATGCGCCTGCATTGGCGCTTTCTGATGGTAAAATATAAGTTAAATTAATAAAAAAATTCTATACCTTTTTCTCTCTGTTCTGTTTATGATTTGTTTTTCAAACACTGCATGCTGTGTATTTTACTTTAAAAGTAGTATATATACTCGTAGTTATTTCCTTTACACTCTTACCAGATAATTTACTCAATAAAATCTTAAAGAGACAAAATAATACAATAACAAAAAAAGTTATAGCATGTTATATTCTTATTTAAGTAACCGACATCACGCAATAGTCAAACCTGAGATGTAACAGTTATAATAGCAATGACGAAACATGTAAAAATTTATGGACAGTGTAATTATTATAATTGGCATCACGTTATTAGAAAATAATCGTATTATTTATTATTCTCTAAGAAACATTAAAAAATGATATTGTGTAAGTTCTAAAATTTGTTATATTTTCGCTAACATTACACATTTAAATAATACAAGTTTTTACGGATTTAATCGCGTATACTTTAACTAAAAAGTGAATATACGCAATAAAATGCGTATAAACTTGTATTATTTAAATCTAAAATTTGTGTTAATAAGTAACAGTGTCCGCTTGCATGTGGTGGAATGTTGGATAATGGCACAGAAATCGTAATAATGCTATTTCTGTGGATAATGGCTTATCATAAGTCAATATATATTATGACTTTCAAAAAACTGTTAGATTTCAGTTTAGTAAAAATAGGTATGTATGTGCCTTTCACAACTTACGCTTAGGTCTTATAGGTATATTATATATTTTACTCTTTGTCGATAAGCCGCCAAAGTTAGAACAAAAATCATTGTCAATATATTATTTATAATAATAATAATCATCGTCATTATAACAGTCCTTAACAAATCCACAGCTAAACTTAGGGCCAAGGAATGCCACGAAAAGAAACACGGTACTAAGCCGCCTGCATCCGTCGAATCGTTCATCTTGTTATTCTATTTAGTGAGGGACTACTTTACACTTTGCTTTCCGGTACAAGGCTGTTACTCGCGAACCTTTCTAGTCTATCAGTTGTCGGTTCAACATAGTATAATATATTAAACATAGAATACTATAATACACAATAGAATGGCTGTCAACCTTATTTTGTACGAGGATCGGTTTCGCCACGAGCACACAAGCAATTACGTCGTATTATCACTACTACAAACCACATTCGCTGTATTGACAGACTGAGCGAATTTACACATTTTAGACTTTTGATTAATGTTTTTGACACACCAATATTTCTTTATTTTTGTTTCTAATATTTACAAAATTTAAATAGTTTCGACTTACTGGTTGTAGGATACGTATGTGTTATTCGAATTCCAATACCCGCTGTTCTTTTGACACGTACTTAATCGTTGCACAATTTGACATTTTTTAAATAATTTGCATGCAGCGACGCTTGACACGAAAATTAAAAACGATTGATTGTGTTGACATTTATAGGAGTGAATTGACATGTCAGTGACATCTTAGTTCCCCCGTTCTATTATGTATGTATTATAGTATTCTATGAAATTAATATGTATACATATAATAATATAACTTTATCTTCATCAGCCGTGTAAATTGCTAACGCCAGTCTAGGTTTTTATGTCTGGCGTAAACGAGGTGGTTATACCGCCATCTATCGAAAGCGTGATGAAATCTAGATGAAAGCTTTGGTATTTCACATAGACCCCTTTTGGCACCCGCGTGATGAAAATGGGCGATACATTTTCTTACTCCACCAACACACGGCACATATATCTTCTATATACAAAACGTATTACTCGTAATTTACTAACGTGATAACTCAGTCTAATGGACGACACACACGGTCAGTTCAACTGATCATTCCAACTGATCAGTTCAAACTAGGACTGTTTATATTTTTTTAAATATCAGATTTTCGATATATCGATAAATAAACTTATATATAAAACTCCGATATTGATATATTTATAATTATCGATATATCGAAAATCCGGTATTTTAAAAAATATCAACAGTCCTAGTTTGAACTGACCAGTTGGAATGATCAGTTGAACTGACCGTGTGTGTCGTCCCACACCGCTACGTTCATTTCAAGTGATGCCGAAATTATGCTCAACTTCTTGGCGCACTTACGCACACATATGCACCTAAAACTATGTTGTTAATTGCAAATTATTTCAGATGCAAAGCGTAATGTGTACGTGAGTGCGTTTTCTTTTAAGTTGAACATAGTTTTGGCTTATTTTTTGCTTAAAAATATAGCCAGCACTGTAACTTTCCTTCTTTGTTAGCCTCAGGTTAACAAAAAAATATACCGTTATTGCACTTTTTGAAAATATGCGTAAATAAGCCTTCTACTTTTATTTTAAATTATCCCAAATTGAATGTGATTTATGTGCAATAACGTTTTTGCCTACCGATCGATCTTTACGAATGTGTGCGTGCGTAAGCTGAATGTTAAAATAATGCTTATGCACACATTTTGAATTTAAAACATAAAAAGGAAAAATGTTTGGGATTTTTTAATTAATTTTCTTCACCATCTGCCTATACCACTCACTCTAAACCTTGTCTGCAAATTTGGTCGGTTATTGCAAAATAACCTGTAATATAAATAAGTATAGTATAAAATTAACTGTATCTTAATATATCATATAAATAAATAATTTTTCTATGCAAGGTTCTTCCATTTAGAAAAGATTATTAATTTTAACATCTTTCGTAAATCCGTATTTATCATCGACCATCAATGTCATAATCAATATAAACGTGATTAAACGTCGTAAAAGCAATTATTGAATTTTCAAATACTCATACTCATTTTTGAATGTCATATTAGTTATGCAGTAAATTTCAACAGCCCCAATAGTGTTTGTTGCTATGTCCATTTTACAATACGACGCGAGTTCTGAGTTCAATCCGGAGCTAACATTTGCACTAAAATACAATAAATATTTTCCTGGTATTCGTTGTTTTCTTCATACTGCCGATTTTATCACTTAAGCGTTACATTGGGCACGGGAAAGTTAGAATTTTAGAACAATAGAAAAAAAAACTGATAGTTTCCATATTACTTTACAATACAAAATGACACATATATGTATAAAAATGCCCAACACACACACACACACACACACACACACACACACACACACACACACACACACACACGCACGCACGCACGCACGCACGCACGCACGACGCACGCACGCACGCACGCACGCACACACATATATATATATATATATATATATATATATATATATATATATATATAATCGGTATCTCGGAAACGGCTCCAACGATTTTCATAAAATTTAGTGTCCAGGGAGTTTCGGGGGCAATAAATCGATCTAGCTAGAATTTATTTTTAGAAAATGTCCTTTTGTCCGTGTTTTCAGGCAATAAAAAACTGCTACAATATAAGAAGGTTAATTTTGACATGTTACTAACGACCGTAATAGATCAGATGGGATGTTGTTCTCAAGTTTTTTTTTTCAAGGTCCCTTCTTTTGTGAGAAAATCTATTATTTCGAGCCCTTTTTTTTAGTATTTTTTAAAAATACGAAAATTTTAATTAAACTAATTGCACTCATGATTTTTTATTCAAATAACCACTTTAGTTTTTCTATTATGTCAATAAGATCAAAAACTATTATTCATATAATTTGTATATAAATGTAACTTAAAAAAACCGAGCAAAGCTCGGTCATCCGGGTACTATAAATTACGTGTCACGTTGTTTGTCCGCGATGGACTCCTAAACTACTCAACCGATTTTAATAAAATTTGTACACCGTGTGTAGTTTGATCCAACTTAAGAGATTGGATAGTTTTTTTTGCCCATGAGTGACCCACAATCTTTTTTTGCGTGTTTAAGGATTTTTAATAGAACATGTCAAAGAGTCGTCGAAAAGGGCAGAACAACGTCTGCCTGGCAAGCTAGAGATATATATATATATATATATATATATATATATATATATATATATACTTTTTTCCGGTAGTTGACTATGTCATGTATGTGTTGATCATTTTGGTGAGTCAGTCTGTCAATCACTTCGTAGTTCTCAACGACTTCGTGCCTTATTTCGGTAGTTCAGTTTATTAAGAAACAAAATGCGATGCGTTATCACCCGTGAGTACTAATATGGAACACCTCATTTCCAGTCAAAGGGGTCTCCGGCTCTCTACACTCACCGTACGAAACAACAGCGTTTATTATTTTACATTGGTTCTGTGAGAGAGTGTTTCTTCCCCGGTCGAGCCGATACATTCGTGCTACAATCGTAATAAAGCTACATCTAGTCTCTACTCCGTAAAAAATCCTAATATAGAAATATAAATTATAAAAGTAATTTCAAATAAATTTCGTCCAAAACTTTATATAAATAATTAATAATAAAACTATGTAAAGTGCGAGCTAAAGATCCTACGTGAACTACGCAAGATATGGCTGTATAAAAAGCTAATGATTATTCATAACACGATCGATTCAACCTAATTCATTGAATCCATTATATCCGTTGCGTTTTATAATATTAAAAAGACTAATAAACATACCTTATGTTTATTAGTCTTTTATTCGTTTTATAACATTCATCCGATTGCGATGAAACTGAGTTGTGCACTCACCCGCGAGGATATTTCACATAAAAAGAAACATCGTAACGCATGCTGGGCACGATTAATTTAATATAAATACTTCGACATTTATTAAAAAAAATATTGCATGTATTGAAACATTTAAAAATCATTAAAGCACTATAATATCTATAGCATTGTAGTGATCGAACTCGGATTGCTCACGTAGTAAGACTATAGTGTTATTGTAGTACGCGAAAAACTCAAGCTCGGTCTGAGCTAACATGGCTCTCTTATTTTATTTACTAACTGTGCCCGGCAACGGTACGTATATGATGTATAATGTGTGTGATACTAAGATCGTATAATGTATAATTGTCGGCCGCTTCTCACAAATAGTAGCTATACTAGATACTCTCTTAGAGTATACAGTACCTGGATGACCGAGCTTTGCTCGGTTTTTTTAAATTACATTTAGATACAAATTACATACTGATGAAACATGAATAATATTTTTTGATCTTATTGACATAATAGAAAAAACTGAACTGGTTATTTGAATAAAAAATCATGAGTACAATTAGTTTAATTAAAATTTTCGTATTTTTAAAAAATACTAAAAAAAAGGGCTCGAAATAATAGATTTTCTCACAAAAGAAGGGAACTTGAAAAAAAAAGGAAAAAAAGTCGAACCGAAGACAGGACGCGAGACAAGGCATTACGATTTCGCGACCGCTCGATATCCACTTGAGCTATTATGAATACCAACACAGTGTCAAAATTTAGCTTCTCATATTGTAGCAGTTCTTCATTGCCTGAAAACACGGGCAAAAAGACATTTTTCTAAAAATAAATCCTAACTAGATCAATTTATCGCCCCCGAAACTTGCTGGACACAAAATTTTATGAAAATCGTTGGAGCCGTTTCCGAGATTCCGATTATATATATATTTTATATTATTCACAAGACACAAACAAAAAAAAAATCATTCAACACGAGCAAAATTTTCTTTGCGTAACAGAAAATTATATTATACTATCTACTTAATTTAGGAGTACATAATAGATTTGTATGACACATGAGACAATTATTATTTTGCATCACCTGTAATAAAATTTAAATTAGCATAACACTTGCGTAAGAACAAATACCTATTCATCGCAGGGTTAATGTCACGTACATGAATATAATAGATATAACTTACATCATTATTTAAGTATTCAAGAGGGTCAACTGTTGCAAAATTGGTCCACAGTAGTTTACGACCCGCAATCACCCGCGATTCTAAATATGACTACTATCGATTGCACAAAATTATTTCTATTGTTTGCTGCAGCATGAAGCCAAAATTGATACTACCGCCCCAATGAGTACACGTAAGGGCCGTTACACACTTTTAGGTGCAATTGACACACTATATCTGCGACTTGTACCACAGTATATTTAATGGTTGCTGGTACCTACTTACAGTTAAATCGTTTTATTAAATTATCTTCCATATCCATACATGTTAAGCACTAAAGAAAACTAAATGCGATATTGCATATTAGAGATCTCAATAGTAGTAGGTTATAGCAATGAGGAAATAAGAAAATACCCATTTAAACATAGTATTTTAGTAGTTTAGCATAGTAATTTAGTTATAATATCATATATAGCAAATGTATGTTATAACGGTTTCTCAATTTTAAATGTTACAACGTGAAGTTGGTTAAAATCAAGAACTATTAAATATTGCAAATAAATGAAAGAAAACAATGGGTGCGTTTGGCAGAAAAAAGCGCTAGCAAGCGCTTACAAGCGCTGAAATAGTTTTCTGCCAGGACACGATTACTACTTCAGTAGCGCTGACACAATCCGCCATTTTGCTTATTTAATTTGTTTGTTTTGAAGTAGAATTTATAAGTTGTTTTGTGCAATATTAGTTTTAAGTAATATAATAACGTGAATAAACATATACATGTTATTAAAAAATCATGATTAGTAAGTTTTTAATATGAATAATTTACAAACATATATTCAAATAAGGTTAGGTTCCCCGGTTAAAGTTAACTTCGTGTCCTGGAGGAAAATAGCTACTTACGATTTGACAGCGTTTACCGCTTACGATCGCCATTTTGCTTACAAGCGCTTGCTAGCGCTTTTTTCTGCCAAACGCACCCAATCTATTCAGTTTGTCGTGTGGTAGCGGCGCGGCGTGAGAGAATTTGTAATCCTGTTTTGACACGTGCGTGTTGTTAGACGTCCATTATGGATGGCGATACAAGCATCTCCAGACGGATTTTCGGTCATGGTGGCCAGTCTCAACGGAGATCATCAACGGAGTCATCTGCATAGGACAGGATTATACTTAGTACACGAGTATGCGAGTCAGTGCAGGTGCACTCTCTATTCCCTCACTCTCATAGTCCGATGGGCCGTCAATCCGATTTGACCGGATTATACAACACATATATTATGTTACCGGTGATTAGGCGCAGGAACAAGGCTTTACGTGCTTTTCGAAGCACAGGGGTGTAACACCGCCAACTTTCTGACTTCCTGCTGCTAATAAGAATTTCTTGATAGTAAACTACAGTAACAGATTATTGGCCTGATCCGGGATTCGAATCCAGGATCCCCAGACCAACGAGGCAGTCAACTATTACATATATACCTACTAGTCTTAAAATACCCAGACTACGACAGGAATCAGAATTTTGGTGCCTACTGCGATCATCATTCGAAAAGAGGAAACAATTCAACAAATTAAGTAAAATGCGTAAATTTTATGTTTTCTTTCCTTGCTATTGGGCTGGATCGTAATATTATATAACCTTCAAAATACATACTATCATAAAAATGTACTCGCATACTAAAAACTGATTGATGGTTTTTTTAAATATATCTTCATAATACTCAATTTAAGATGTGTGTGTATTATTATTACTAGAATAACAGCATTCATAAGCCATTCCGTTGCGAATTCAACCAGTTAATTGTGATTGTTATGCCGATTAAGATTATATTATATTTTCGGTTAAAGCGAGTCACACACTACGCAGATACGATAAGATATTTGTATCTAAGCGCATATATACCTTACAATATCACTCTCTATGAAATTCAATGAACACACAGATTAGATAATTTATATTTTATCGTTATAGTATCTGTAAGTAGGGACCTATATAGAAAGATGGTGGTATAATATTATACAAATATTTCATTGGAATTTACCTGCAGAAAATACAGGGGTCGCTGTGGCGGGGGTCCGCACTCCCCCACTCGGACAACGGTTAGTAGGCTACAAGAACCACCATAGAGGTGACATAATGATTGGTAACAATACTCAATCATAAATCTTATCCTTATCACCATTGCCTTTCCAATTTTAATCAGCTTGCTGAGCTGAGTCAGGTGAAACTGTCCGTATAGGCTAACAGCATCAACATCACCGAAAATGGACAATATGAGTTCGCTAAAAACATGCGATTAAATTCGCCTCGGTCCCAAATACTTCGTCTTGTAGTAAATGCTAATGCGACAAGTGGATCAAAATCAAAATCCGAATCCTATTTTGGCGAGCTGTCTGGCAAATCTAGAAGCAATATACACCAACTCATTGTGAGTAGGTAACACTCTGTATAAACAATCCGCTCCAAAAAACACGTCTAGTAAGTTTGTAGGATTTCTAGTGAATGTGTCATTTTGCATATTATCGTTTTTTTATAGGATAGGGTGACAACCGAGCACAGTCTACCTGATGGTAAGTGGTAGCTGTGGCCCATAGACATTTACATCTATTCTCGATTACGAATCAAAATGCAGATACGTTGTCACCCGTGAGGACTAAGATGGAATGCCTCATTTCCAATAAAAAAGGTCTCCGGTTCTCTACACTCACCATACGAAACACAGCAGCGTTAAGCTACTATTTTACGCTGGTATTCTGTGAGAGCGTGGTCCTTCCCCGGCCGAGCCGACCCATTCGTGTTACAACTATATTTCTAATATAACTGATCATGGTTCTACCACGTATAAAATATGCGTGGTGTGTGATACTTTCAGATAGGTAATTAAGTATTTATACGCGGATAAAATATTATCGTATCTGCGTAGTCTGTGACTCGCTTAAATATTTATATGTAAAAATTACGTGTCCCATTGCTCGTCCGCAATGAACTTCGAAACTACTCAACCGATTTTAATTAAATTTCGTAAATGTGTACTGCTTGCTCAAACTTGGGAGATATGATAGTTTTTTTTAGTCTAGTGTTTTTTATAGAGGCTTAGAGGTCGTCGGAGAGGGCAGAACAACGTATACTTGGCCAGCTAATAACATAATAAATAAAAGCAGTTGTACCCTTACTCCTTACCCTGTGGTAGAGCCATGCGGCAGCTATATTATGGTTGTAGCACGAATGGGTTAGCTCTACCAGGGAAGGACCACGCTCCCACAGAATGCCAGTGTAAAATAGCAGTTAACGTTACTGTGTTTCGTTTGGTGAGTGTGGAGAATCGGAGACCCTTTTTACTGGAAACCAGGCATTCCATCTTGGTCCTCACGGGTGACAACGCATCTTCAATTTTGATTCGTAATCGAGGATATACGAGTATAGATGTCTGGGCTACAGCGACCACTTACCATCAGGTGGACTGTGTGCTTGTTTATCACCCTTATCCTATATAAGAAGCCTGATTGTCTGATATTTTTTCAGTGACGGGTTTAAATACTTATCTAGCGGTTTCATTGGTATACGTAGTATGCATTTTCTACGCATCACAGGTATTATTACTACATTTTCCATTCAGTTCTTTCTTATTAGTACTGGAAGTATGAATACTAATTTATTTTTCATTTTCATGTACAGGGCGGTATGAAAGCAGTTATAATGACGGATAGTTTTCAATCGGTTGTGCTTTTGGGTTCTCTAGCGGCAGTTTTGGCCCTAGGGGCCGGAAAAGCAGGCGGACTTGACCCAGTTTGGGATTACGCAAGGCGTACGGACCGACTTCACTTTTTCGAGTAAGATGTATAATATATTTTCTAAATTCCAACTTTAAGAAGATACGGCGGAATAATAAACGACATTTAAATTTGTAAAGAATCCTTTCAGCTAATCTAACACCTATGTTCGAATTGAGATTGCTCTTCGAATTTTGTATATAATTATATACGGTGGATGACTCTAATACAAGTCTTTCTGCCAAAATAAGGTTTCTAATAATCTTAATTAAAAATATTATCTTCTAAAATTCTTCGTAATTAGAGAAAAGTATATTTCAATTATGCGTATCCACGGAGCAATAAATTTATCAGTATAAAATTTAAAAGTAAAAAGCATTAGTTTTAATTATAAATAAATGTCAGATTACGTTTTGTGCATTTGATGTGTTTTAATTTAGCATCTACATTTTTCTTTCAGTATGAATCCAGATCCTACAGTCCGTCATTCCTTCTGGTCGGTGGTTGTAGGCGGAACCATGTATTGGCTTAGCATGTTTTGCGCGAACCAAGCATCTGTGCAAAAGTACTTATCCGTGGAGTGTATTGCACAGGCCCGGGTAGCGCTATGGGTTTCCGCCGTAGGCCTTATTACCGTTTATTCGGTCAATTTCGCCACCGGTGCTGTCCTCGCAGCACATTATGCCGATTGCGATCCCATTCAGGTACACGCGTCTCGAATTTTTATAGGTATGTAAGATTCACACGTTATTTTTACAAAGTTTGTTTTTCAATAATGTGGCGATTGACATTCTCGCAAAGGACGTAATTTTAAAGTAGATCTTATCATTTTATACTCGTATTTTAGATTTGTTAAAATAGGTGCTAGGTAAGTAGTCTAAATATTATAGTATTAATACGCTATGGACAAACAGGCGCTTTCTTTTATGTAAAATTTTTATTAAAAAACGAAAATATTCGTTAGAATAATTATTAATCATAACGTCGTTAATTTTGCGAAAGGTCGCTACTGATGCTAACATCACAAATAGAGGCTGAATATATTTAAAATATAAGTAAATATAATAATACCATCAACTATCAACAATCTTTTTAAATGCCTTAATTGAAAGTATTGTTCATGCTTACTTGCGCTGGACTGGGGAGCTGATGAGCGAAGATCGCGAACCCGTCACTTACGCGTTGCCAGTAAAATGGATGGGTGATCCCGCCCCTAATACCAACATTTTTGCCTTTTTACTAAAAGAAATTCGTACTTAAAGAAAAGTATATTATGATTTCTTATATTTATGCGAACACTATACATTGATTAAAACTAAGTAAACAAATTTAATGTCTAATAGAAAACAGTTACGTCCTTTGCTAAGCTTTCAATTCAAAAAACCAATTTTAAAAATAGACGATCGAAATAGAACTTAACTTCCTTAGCGTTATCGTTTACTAGTCTCAAAATAAATTAATGATATTTATTCCAGTTTATGACGATCCCGATTTAGGTATGTTACGTGACCTAGGTACTACTTCTAATGTACCCCAAACCAAATAATAGCCTGGTGGCTGATATTATGCATTCCATACATTTCTTATATTATTTATTCAGGCTAAAGATGACATGATGTAAAATAAACCTAATTTTACCTGGACCTCAACTTGTCAAATAAGTATTAGAAATATGAGCGGTTTTCGTTGGTAATATTGAAAATATACCTTTCATTGATTAAAACTACTTTTACGGATTTTATCGCGTTTTATTTATATTAATGTTAATACTCGACGTTTCGGGTGCTTTCCAGCACCCATGGTCACGGGGGACTGAAGTGACTGAAGTCCCGATGTCAAAGTTAACCCGGAGTACCTTCAGCTTTTTAATTATTGTCTTTGGTCCGAACTACGCATAATGAACTAACTGTATTTTGAAGTCTTGCAGTGGTATGCTTGGGTTTAGTTTTAATTTTATTAATTATAGGATCCCAAGCAGGTGGTAGTACCCAGCCTCCTTCTCTATTGAAATTAGGATGTTTTTTAATTTCAATAGCCTCACGTATCATCCTTGGTAGGAATCGATGTTCTTTCGCGAGGATTTGTGGTCTATCAAATCTGATGTAATGGTTGGGGCCATCTAGAATATGATCGCAAACTGCAGTTAGTTCATTCTGCGTAGATCGGACCAAAGACAATAATTAAAAAGCTGAAGGTACTCCGGGTTAACTTTGACATCGGGACGTCAGTAACCTCAGTCCCCCGTGACCATGGGTGCTGGAAAGCACCCGAAACGTCGAGTATTAACATTAATATAAATAAAACGCGATAAAATCCGTAAAAGTAGTTTTAATCAATGAAAAGTATATTTCCAATATTACCAACGAAAACCGCTCATATTTCTAATATTTGACAAGTTGAGGTCCAGGTAAAATTAGGTTTATTTTACATCATGTCATCTTTAGCCTGAATAAATAATATAAGAAATGTATGGAATGCATAATATCAGCCACCAGGCTATTATTTGGTTTGGGGTTCATTAGAAGTAGTACCTAGGTCACGTAACATACCTAAATCGGGATCGTCATAAACTGGAATAAATATCATTAATTTATTTTGAGACTAGTAAACGATAACGCTAAGGAAGTTAAGTTCTATTTCGATCGTCTATTTTTAAAATTGGTTTTTTGAATTGAAAGCTTAGCAAAGGACGTAACTGTTTTCTATTAGACATTAAATTTGTTTACTTATATTTTTATTATTTACATTATACACCTTATATTTTCATTATTTTTTGAGAAAGAGAAAAACAAGCGAAAATAATTATTGTTATAACTTAGAGCTACGAAAAATTTATGAAATCTAAATGACTGAGTGACGTGCTTTGCGGCAAATTATGTAAGAAGCCATGTTCAGGTTCAGGGCTTGTGATGGACTGTAATGATAATGACGATTCCAAAACTTGGATGGTTGTTTTAGAAGAAATCGATGTGCAAAATTTTTTATCACAATTTCTTGTAAGTAATTGTTTGGTGTTATGGGTAAAAATGCACTTCTTGAATTCAAAACACAGTAAGTTAAGTACGTAGTAAAACATGAAAATAAAATAATTGTTGCTATCTGTCGTTATTTCATATTTCATGCTCGTGTCATGCTTGACTCAAAATTATAAGTTGTTACGAATATATGCCTCTTAAACTTACCTACAATAGGTACATATCAAAAACCCAAAGAACATAACCCTAAGCTAGGCTGCCATAAGGTACACAAAAGGACGATATAACGTACAGGAACGCTGGAATTTGAGCCATAACGCCTTTTTTATATTACAATTCTGATAATATACCAAACCTTATTTCTTTATAACTATATCGAAAATAAATGATGAAAAATATTTTACCACAGGCAGGCACAATCCATGCGTCGGACCGACTTCTTCCGCTTTACGTGGTGCGTGAACTGGGAGCTGCGCGAGGTGTTCCAGGCTTTTTTGTTGCTGGGATTTTCGCCGCAAGCCTTGGGTACGTTAGTATCTACTATTATGTCTGTGCCTTGGGTATTTATTATCACTACACATTTCTTTCCAACACACCGCTTAAATTAGATGATATTCGTATGATATGAACCAAAATATTAACTTTAGCACCATTTTAGCAGTTAAAATTGACAATCCGAAACGCCTGAAGTCGTTTTACCAACTGAGGCAGATCCAGCTCAATTCCTTAATTAACTAGAAAATATTAAGCCTTAACCAGAAAAGACCAGTCGCCATACCGGTTTCAATTCGACAGATTCTGGTCGCAAATTAGGAATTTCAACTCGCAATATGGCCTGAGAAAATAGAGAACTTAGATTTATGTCGCAATTATTACTCACCTTAAGTTGTATAATATATCATAGGCCATATTCATATACCTAGTTAAATTTTTGAATTATCTGAGAAAGTAGTTTATTTAGTTAATAATATTATTTATAACTGCTGCCAAAGTAATATTTATTCATTTATTTATTATTATGTTAATTAACTAGATAGGTACTATTAAATACTAGCTTTTTACCCGCTGAGGCGTACGTTAAGCGTTGAGGAACATCATTAATACCGCTCCATACCTAAATCAGCAAAGAAAGGATCACTTGTAGAGTCGCCTCGTTGTCTCGTTTGTCAAGTGATATCTTTTCAATTTTTAGAGATTATTAGACGTAGATTTTTTTTAGAATTGCATTAATAACATACGTCTAGCAACCCCTGTCACTTTGTATATCGGCCATGAGACATGACGTCCGAGGTATCTTTAAGAATGGTAAAAATTATCTTTGATTCAAAGTTACGTTATTTACTTTTTACTCTTTACATTTATCTTTCTTCTTATTCTTTACAATTATTTATATTAAATTAAGGGTACACAAGCCACTCATTCTTCCATACAAACGTAGTCTGGCGAGTATTCCACTGTTTGATGGTGTACGTTCAAAATAAAATATGATTTCAATTTGTGTCATCATTATCTAGCCCCGTACGGAAACAAAAAAGTTAAAATAAGAATATATTTAAAAGTATTAACTTTAACACATCTTTGGGCGCAAATAAATACCATAAGAAGAACAAAAATTGCAAAACAGTTACCATACGGGGATAGATTAGGTGTTTCAAAAGTGCAAATAATTTTATTTTGAACCAGATACATTCAATAGATTTTTCATGATATCCGGATTCCCAAAGGTCTGTTTATAAAATTTCGCGCGCTCGTTTTTGTTATAAATCATCATGCCTTTCGCATTCGCACGTGATTTCGGCTGAGATAGCATGCATTTTAACCCCGTCCACCACTTAGTTCGTGCCATCGACTAGGGCCATAATAAGGTAATTTAATTTCTACAAAAAATTTCGAATTTCATGGTCTTCTATTAATGTACGGCAGTGTTTATTTGCGATATTAGTTTTATATCATTGGCCTATTGAATATTGATTGGCACTATAAAAGTAAAATAATTACATAATTTTTTTTACTAATCATCAAATACAGGTAAAAATTTACATCGGATAATTTAATACCAAAGGAAATTAGTGAAATTATTGCTATGCCGATATACACCCAATAAGTATAGTTAAGTACTAAAAAGTTTCTCTTTTAATCACAGCTTTGTGTACATAGTATCCAGTAAGTATAACAGTTTAGTTAGTTATTTTGCTAAATGTGGCAATTACGGTAAATCATCCCGAAAATGGCTGAATATTTTAAGTTTTTGATCTTGCGAGAATAAGTATTCAGTAGTATTATATTTAATCTTATCAGTTAGTTATTATTAGTTTATTTAGTAGTAAATAGATGGTGCTAATTTTAGATTAAAACTATGAAACCCAAAACTGTCAAGTTATGTAAAATGTAGTTGTGGCCAGATCGTAGAATTGATCATATTATCATGAAGTTCTGGGCCACTTCAAATATCGCAATCATTTCATGATAGCCTGTTATTACTGACCATCTCTCCATAGTATTAAAAAAAATCGCTTCCCACCGTCAATACGCTTAGATCTTTTAAACTACGCAACGAATTTTGATGAGGTTTTCATCAATAGACAATGATTCAAGAAGAAGTTTATATATATATATATATATATATATATATATATATATATATATATATAATATACGCATATTATAGTAATCTATAAATATAAAAATCAATTGCTGTCCTATGGTATCGCTAAAACTCACCGATTTTGATGAAATTGTGTGTGTGTATTTAAGTGGGTCCCTGAATGGTTTAGATTACAAGTCGATTTAGACATTATATTGACCATGGTGGCGCTGTTACCGATACCCAGAAATCACCCGTGCGAAGCCGGGGTGAATCGCTAGTATCGTATAAATGTCAACGTTTGTCAAAATTATGCTCCATCTACAATTGAATCTACGAAGTCAGTTCTCGTTTCGCCATAATATCATACGAAATCAACATCGTTAGTTCGTGCCAAATCGATTGAGAAAAACGAACATTGTTGACCTTTCGGTCGTTTAACCAGGGGCTACAAACCTTCAATATATAGGCACTTTTTATATGTAGTACTTTCTTTATTTATAATGATTTTTTTAATTTTTTTTATAATGATTGATATAATATATAAACTATTCTTAAAAAGTTATATAAAAGATCGCTGTAGCAAAAAATCATCTATTGTTATAAAGTACTTTATTCATTTAACAACAAAAAGCATTAATTTATAACACATATAGAGATTCAATTGAAGATGGAGCATAATTGTGACAAACGTTGACATTTATACGATTACCAACGACATGTGGTCCTTGGGCTACCTCAAAGCCGCGAATAATTATATATATTATTTAAATGTTCGCGATGAGGCATAAAGTTATGTGGATTGTTTTTATTAAAAAAATGCGCTATCGGCGCCGCTAGCGGTGAAAAGCGAAACTATTTTACGATATACTTAATTAGAATATTATGAAATAGCAATGTTGGGTTTAGTTGTTAATTTCTTCAAACAATGTTTATTCATCGATTTGGTCAAGCCTTATCATGATATTGTCAACAGACAGTGTTAAAATTTACGAAATGCCACAATTTCACGTAATGATCGAATATTCATGATAAAATCAATTCTACGGTCTGCTCACGACATATATAAAAATAGATTTAAATAAAGTATAAGTGTTAATGAGAGATTAGCTATAATCGCAGGAAAAACAATTTTAATCAGTTTATTTTTAAATATTAGTAATTAAGGTTTCGAGTAAACTTAGTGATCATATACTCTTTGGTTCTAAGGCGTCCCTCTAAATATTAGTATACTCTTTGGCGCGGTCTACAAGGAGACATTTAAGGATCCAAATCAAAAGTGCAAAAAATATTAAAGTTTTGCGCCCGCGGTATTTAAATTCTGATCGTATTGAAAACTTTTTTGGACAAATGCGTGCGTACAATTTTAGAAATACGAATCCAAATTGCCAAACATTCAAAAGCACCTTTAGATCACTGTTAATTACAAGGTTTATAAAGTTCCACTCAGATAGTTATAATTGTGAAGAGGATTCTAGTGAACAATTATTAAAATTAAAATCATTATTTTGTACAAAAGAAAAATGTGATAATACTGAGCAAATCCATTCATTTGAGTCCTCTGAGCTATCGAGTTGGGTAGAAAGTGAAAGTTCAGCAAAGCAGGAAAAAAATAAATGTTCACTCACGTGCATATACCGCTGGGTGGGTCATAAGAAATATACTAAAAAAAAATTGTCGGCAATGTGAAGCTGATTTAACAAATAAGGAATCCAATTATGATAAAAATTCTATCAATAATTGGATTTACCTTAAAGAATTTAAAAGTATAAAAGAAAACAAATTGATCTACCCTTAACATTCCGTGAGATTTTTTGAGATAGTAACACAAGAAGCAAACAAATACTTAGAAAATAAACCTCAACAGAGTTATATTATAAAAAATATAAAAACTCTCATCAAATTTAAGTATTTGTTTGACTTTATAGACTGCGAACTACATTAGGATGCTGTTTCTGAACACTTTTTAACATTAACCTTAAGATTGACAGTGTTTAATTGGTGCAATGTCATAAATAAAATATTGAAAGGTACAGATGTCCTAAGATTAGAAAACAAAGCTTTGCGTCAAATGCAATTAAAAGCTTTTAATAAATTTAAAACAAAATTAAGAAATAAAAAATGTTTAAATAACACAGTGTTTTTTTCTTATACATTCCCCTTCTAACAAGCTCGAATCGAATCCATCTAATCATTATTTAAAAATTCGTATAATTTAATTAGAACAATAGATAAAAATGAGTATTTTTATTTAGGTACTATAAAATAGGCTGTATCGTGCCACGCTTTGATCGTGACTATGGCAAATTAAAAAAAAGCTGTCAATGACAGATTGTCATACATGATATGTGAGCTTAGACCAGTTCACTTTTGTTCTATGGGAGTGCCCTGTCTGATACGTAAGTATCATATTAGTCTGTGATCCAAATGGAGACTTCGGACTTATAAGCGTTAAACTAAAAAACCATCTGAATTTTAATCGATTTCACTATTATCTATTCAAATTATTATTAATGAAATGAAACAATTAAAATAAACCTTATAACTTTCAAATCATTTAATAAATATAATTATTAAAACATATAAATGTAAATTATTTAGGTACGTTATTTAATTTATTAGTAAGTAACTGATAACTGAAGGCTAAATATACTACTTTATACTTTTTATTACAGATTGCGCTGTTTCAAAAACGTAAAATGTAGATCATTAGCGTAGTTTCAAATTATTACATAGGTAACAGTTAAAACAAATTTATACTTTAATTATAAATATTGTATTCGTTAAACAAAACACTACGTTATCCCACTTATAACTAACAGAATCATACAAAATAGAAAATTCACTTCTAAAGAAAGAAAAATATTTAACCCTCCTTTTCTAAGTTCCGTAATCGGATAAAAAGTAGCCAATAAGTTGCCCCGGGACACTAACTGCCTACATACAAAATTTCATGGAGATCTGTCCAGTAGTTTTTGCGTGAATATTAAATACACAGACAGACAGACGAAAATTCTAAAAACCAGTTGGTAATTTGGCTTCGGTATCCTTTATTTAGTCCCAAAGACTTGTTTTTTTTTCAGGAAATGTTAGAATTATAGACGCGACTTTTCTATAGAATTATTATATATATAGAAACAGAAACAGAATCTTTTTTATTCAATGTAGATTATAACAATACTTATTGAAAGTCACTTTTTTCATTTACCACTGGTTCGCAAAAAAAACCTCTGTCCTGGGAAGAACCAGCAAGAAACCCAGAACGAGCAAGAAACCCAGCCAGACCCAACCCAGCATAAATAATTAAGTATAATTTGTAATAAAAAGGAAAGCAGTAATTTCTCGCGTTCCTCAATTTTGTATAAATTCGTCTCTTTTAATGTACATTTGCAATCATTTTCAGATGCGTTAGCGAAAAACCATTCCATAACCATTCCAGAAAGTTTATAAATTTAGATGTTTGTTATTAAACTTCATTTGAAATTGTTTCATGCCATGATTCCAATGAATTTATAGCCCTGTGAGGTACTCCTTTTATTTCACCTTTTACTTTTCACACACGAAGCATGTATATTTTTTTAGGTATACCAATGTCTAATTGAAATTAGCCGAGGAAGAAAATTGGAAGAAAATAGTATACGAATTCCGACTATCTACCCCGTCCGGGGTAGTAGTTTAACACGCGTTTCCGAGTATACGCCCTAGGGGGGCTGTTTTAGGGTGGATAAATTGATTTTTTTACTTATTATAAGCCAGTGCTTGACCACAGTCACAGACTGGTGGTAAATGGTGATATAGTCATGGATGGTAAATCACACTGTCTTAGCGTAACAAAAGCATATTCAATCTTGCTTTGAAGACGCCCAGATTGTATTCGGACGGAATAACCGTATTTTCCAAATTTTGCCAGACTTTTTTTGGACCTAAAACACGACGCAGCCAAAGTTCTAGTCTAGACGGAACTGCCACTAGAAACTCGATTTGTTGCGTTTTGCTCGATGTAAAATATAATCTGCAGCTACATCTTTTCTGATAATTATACTATTTTTTACGGACCAAAATGTTAACTGCATTTTATATTATACTGCGACTAACATCATCATGTTTCTTATTCCCTGACTAGAGACACATTAAATGCCTACTGTGACGACAGAAGAGGGCCTTAATAAGAGTCTTAAACAAAGAGGTCCGGCTTTTTAATTATACGAATTATTTGTAGCAATAAAAAAGGTACCTTTGTGATTTAGTTCATTTGCTTTAAGCAAGGCATAGACTTACTTTTTATCATAACGTTGCCGCTGAAAATCAGGGTTAGGATGATACATCTTAGCATATCCTGGGTGGTGGTCCTATTTGGACCATTTCACAAGATTTTAAATAATAGTAGTACGCAGTACTGTGAAATTTACGGTGAGAGCACTTAGCACGTGAACTAGATACCCGTCTCTTACAATTATGGCAGCTCATTAATTTATCTTAACTTAATACATTATAGGAGTAAATTATAACAGCATTTTTGTAGTTTAAGGTAATAAAAAGTTAACTCCAGATAAGATAACTCCTATTTTGTAGTTTATCTCCCATAAATTACAATATATAAGTCAACTTTTTCTTACCCGCACTGGGCACAGAATATTAATATTAATGTTCTTTCACATTACCGAGAGACGCCCTGTTCCTTGTGCGTGAATGAGGCTTTGAATTTAGGTGACGACTTAAAATTCGTACTTAAGGACGCGTTTGCAAATCAACCAAAATTAGGGTGTTTTTCGGGATATTTTGTGACAAAACTAAACCAAATCAAATATAAGTAAAAACTACCATGTATAGATTGGTTCTTCATCTGCAAACGTCTGTAACTCTTTTGTTGAAAATAGTAGTTTTTTATATTGTAAAAACGAACTTTCGTTGCCATTTTCTACAAAATTAACGATACCGGCTTGTGTTTCGGTACATGTTTTGGTCTATTATCAACATATTTAAAAAAATTAAAAAATACTATAAGATGACAGACATATTCAATTAAAAAACCCTGTGTTTATTTTTTATCATAATGTCACAAATAGTCGTAGCAAAAATAAAAACTGATGCACATTTTTTCATATATTTTGCTAATACGGATAAATCATAATCTATTGCAATAAGGGCTATTTTATTGTTGGTGCCTGCTTTGATTTATTGTACAAAGATATCGATGAAACCACAGTCCGCGCTCGGCCGCCGTCGTGAGTGGATGCTGTATCGCCTGTTTGCAGCGGCTCATTCTGAAAAGATCGCTGTACATACACAAAATATTAGAAAAAAACAAATTGGAAACATAAGTACTTGACAAGTGATAAAATTATTATTTTTATACTCACAGTTTTTTATTTAGCTAAAAAGAAGTAGGATATATAAACTTACCTACTACTGCAACTCCTGGACGAGCGGAACTAGGTGTGCCGAGTTTGGGCTCGTTTTGTTGGTTATGATGAGACCTTACCTCCGGACTTGATGGCGTGACCTGAAGGTGTACTTTCGTGACCGCTATTTGAACTTCTTGCAGAGTAAAACTAGGGGTGGCGAATTTGGGCTCCGTTTTGTTAGTTATGACGAGTCCATACCTCCGGACTTGATGGAGTGACCTGAAGGTGTAAATCGGTGATTGCAACTGGAACTCCCAGACTGGTAGAACTAGGTGTGCCCAGTTTGGGTTCGTTTTGTAGGTTATGATGAGACCTTACCACCGGACTTGATGGAGTGACCTGGAGGTGTAGTTCGGTGATTACAAGTAGAACTCCTAGACTTGTAGGACTAGGTGTGCCGAGTTTGGGTTCGTTTTGTTAGTTATGATGAGACCTTACCACCAGACTTGATGGAGTGACCTGAAGGGGTAATTCAGTAACTACTGCTGGAATTTCTGAACGAGTAGAACTAGGTGTGCCGAATTTGGGCTTCGTTTTGTTAGTTATGACGAGTCCATACCTCCGGACTTGATGGAGTGACCTGAGGGTGTAAATCGGTGATTGCAACTGGAACTCCTAGACTGGTAGAACTAGGTGTGCCAAGTTTGGGTTCGTTTTGTAGGTTATGATGAGACCTTACCACCGGACTTGATGGAGTGACCTGAAGGTGTAGTTCAGTGATTACAAGTGGAACTCCTAGACTTGTAGAACTAGGTGTGCCGAGTTTGGGTTCGTTTTGTTAGTTACGATGCGACCTTACCACTGGACTTGATTGAGTGACCTGAAGGGGTAATGATGTTTTTACTATTGGAACTCCTAGACTAGTAGAACTAGGTGTGACGAGTTTGGTTTCGTTTTGTTAGTTACGATAAGACCTTACCACCGGACTTGATGGAGTGAAATTCGGCACACCTAGTTCTACTGGTTCAGAAATTCGAGCAGTAGCTACTGAATTACCCCTTCAGGTAACTCCATCAAGTCTGTTGGTAAGGTCTCATCATAACTAACAAAATGAACCCAAACTCGGCACACCTAGTCCTACAAGTCTAGGAGTTCCACTTGTAATCACCGAACTACACCTTCAGGTCACTCCATCAAGTTCGGTGGTAAGGTCTCATCATAACCTACAAAACGAACCCAAACTCGGCACACCTAGTTCTATCAGTCTAGGAGTTCCAGTTGCAATCACCGATTTACACCTTCAGGTCACTCCATCAAGTCCGGAGGTATGGACTCGTCATAACTAACAAAACGAAGCCCAAATTCGGCACACCTAGTTCTACTCGTTCAGGAATTCCAGCAGTAGTTACTGAATTACCCCTTCAGGTCACTCCATCAAGTCTGGTGGTAAGGTCTCATCATAACTAACAAAACGAACCCAAACTCGGCACACCTAGTTCTACCAGTCTAGGAGTTCCAGTTGCAATCACCGATTTACACCTTCAGGTCACTCCATCAAGTCCGGAGGTATGGACTCGTCATAACTAACAAAACGGAGCCCAAATTCGGCACACCTAGTTCTACTCGTTCAGAAATTCCAGCAGTAGTTACTGAATTACCCCTTCAGGTAACTCCATCAAGTCAGGTGGTAAGGTCTCATCATAACTAACAAAACGAACCCAAACTCGGCACTCCTAGTTCTACTAGTGTAGGAGTTCCACTTGTAATCACCGAATTACACCTTCAGGTCACTCCATCAAGTCCGGTGGTAAGGTCTCATCATAACCACCAAAACGATCCCAAACTCGGCACACCTAGTTCCACTAGTCTAGGAGTTCCTGTTGTAATCACCAAATTACACCTTCAGGTCACTCCATCAAGTCCGCAGGTAGGTAAGGTCTTATTATAACTGACAAAACCAGTTCAAAGTCCAGAGCTAACATCTCACTACCAGTAGAGGGCTTCCAGTGCCAAGCAGTTTCTGGAGCAGGTATTCGTATTTCGTATCGAAGTATATTTCTGAGGTAGGTATAAGAAATGAAAAACAAATTCAATCTTTCAAATTATCAAAATAATTTCATTTGACTACGATTCCCACAGCCAACCGTGCGTACACTAGTGTGTGTGTGACTTTTGTCAATGTAGTAGTGCGATTCTATACCTATCAATTTTGTAAACGCGTCCTTAAGATGAACATAAATACACCAAAATACGGATTGCTGATGTAGTATGGTGAGTAAGGTCAAAACTTTAAAGAAATGCTTGGCGACTGGCACATTCTTCAAAAGGTCTACGCCCAATGGACTTAAACGAGGTTGGGAATTTGTGATGTAATAACTGGTAATATGTATAATTTTATTCATACAGGACAGTTGCTTCAGCTTTGAACTCATTGGCTGCTATAACATGTCAAGACTTATTAACGGGCCTTCTCGGAATAGCACTACCGGAGAATAAAGGAGCAGCTGTAAGTAACAAAATGAAATATATTTGAAACATTTTATCTAAAGTTTAACAAATAATCATTTTGACATTTAATCTTTAACTATGTTCTTACACCACATTATTATGTTATAAGTAGTATCAGACAAAAATATATGAAACACGCTGCGCAATATGGATTATGATCACATATTGAATTATTAACTTATAATGGTAATTGTTTAAGTATTACCCAACTGCGGTAGATTATAAGTTTCCAATAAGAGAATATTAACTGTAAGGTGGACCATGGTTCAAGACGTTAATAACCTCTAGACCGAAGAAGAAAGTTGAATAGCCAAGAAAAAATAAATATTTTATTTTAAATTACTTAGTAATAGCAGTAATTATTTTATGAATAAAAGAAGTCCGCCGCGCTAACTCAATGTACCTAGGTACGTAAGAATAGAAATTATTCCTTACAATGGCAGACAATACCTACAGTATGCACTATTATCTTCGAATACATCATACTACATAAGAAATATCATTTATAATTAATGTTAAGAACTGACATGAAATAATCGATTTTTAGATAGCTAAATGGGTATGCTTGGCGTTCGGAGCAATTTCATTTGGTCTGGTGTTCGTTGTCGAGCGCCTCGGCCCGGTACTGCAGCTTGCACTCTCCTTTAACGGCATGGCGGGCGGCGTATCATTGGGACTTTTCAGCCTTGGAATGCTCTTCCCATGGAGCAACGCTAAAGTAAGACTGCTAAAATTAATATAATAAATACTTGACTGACCAAGTGGGTTTAGAGCGCAGATATTTTTAGCGTAAAAAGATGTCAAATTAAAATTTATAAACAACTTTTCTTTCGATGATAATAATAATAATGCCCTCCAAAGCCGGTCAACGGAGACTAGCCATCGGCGCAGGAAAGGGTTCCAAGTGTATGCGCAAGCACAGGTGCGCCCCGTATTACCTCACTTTCGTAGTCTGAGGGACGGTAAACCGACACGACCGGACTCCAGGCAGCTACTGAGATATATATAAAAAAGTACTCTGTGTACTGAGAGTAGACATGTGTCAATCATGCATGATTCGGTCATTTGAGCTGGTACACTTAAAAGTGTTGATGGTTCATTCATTTGTTTTTGAATGTACCAGTACAAACAATTACAAATAATTGACGGTTATTAGAATGAAAAATCATGAGTGCAATAAAATTTTCGTATTTTTAAAAAAATACTAAAAAAAGGGCTCGAAATAATAGGTTTTCTCACAAAAGAAGGGAACTTGAAAAAAAAGGGAAAAAGTCAAACCTAAGACAAGACGCGAACTAGGGCACTACGATTTCGCGACAGTGCGTTATCTACTTGAGCTTATTACGACCATCAAAATTTTTCAAAAGGAGCGGATTATAGGGAACGATCCATCGGTTATCAATATCATGGTTTCGGACGGTAGCATTTTGCCCACCCTGTTCTGGCGATCGTCAACGATATTTAGGATATCCGTCATCGCTAGTAAACCTATTCTATTCAGTACTTTTTTAACTGAAATACCTTTAAACTACGATTTTAATTAAATCAACTTAAACTACGATTTTAATTAAATTAAAAATACTTAAAAAATAATTTGCTATTCGTGCGACTAAAAACAAAAGATAATCAACAATCATCAAGAACAAAAGATACCTATTCTATTAAGTTCTTTTTCTGAACTTACTTACTTACGATTTTACGAATATTCTACGAATATTAAATTGATCTAATTCTAAATTCTAACCAAGATCTTAATAGAAAATTCCAATCCATAAATTATGGTTTTATTAAATCTATTCTTATCTAAACTTATGTACTTATAATTACTATAAGTGCGATTTAAAAATTAACCTTAGAATAGAATATCATTTATATTTTAAAACTACTATCATACAATTATTTATCGTAACTTACTTATAATTACCTACTGATACGTTGTCGCGCTGAAAAGCACGTTTTTATTAAGTATTGTTATTTTCCTAGCTAGAGAGCTCTGATAATAAACGCGTCCGATTGCTGCTAAATTCAAAGTGCTATAGGGACTAGGGAGAACCGCGGCAGGGTTGCCGTTCCACAAATTCTAAAGTCCCTAGACTAACAGAAAAAATCCGCCAGAAACAGGATTTTTCTTTTTCTTAAAATCCGCTAGATGTCCCTAGGTACATTTTCGTGCTACCATTGGGCTAACTGAAAAATCTTGCCAAATGGTATATATACAATGAATACCGAAAATCTAAATCTATAAATTCAGAAAAATCCTAAAAAAGAGCGGACTCTATTTCATATAAATCAGTTATTTACAGTGTAAGTTAATGACATGACAACCAAAACAAAAATTATTCATGTACAAAATAAAAAAATATTGAAAAAAAATTAATCTTTAATCTTTTAACCACGTTTAAACATTAGTCATCGTATTAAAAATGAAACAATTAGATCAGTACGTTCTTGTACCTTATGTAAATTGTAAATTAATAGCGAAGTATGGATCCAGATCTTCAAAAACAACTTCAGCGGAAGTTGAAGCTTCGCCAATGTCTCTCTATCTTTATATACTCGTATATCTTTGGTTTGCCTTTACCGACTTGGTTGACAACATCTTTAGGAATATCGTACGTTACGCAATTCTTTTTTTTTTAATCCTTAACCGATTTCTTATTGAAATAATTGAATAATTAAAGGTTTTTTCTGATAGTTCTATATTCATAGCACCAAATACGCGTTCATATTCTGCATTGGATTACGGTACTGATAATATTATTATTGCAAAATTACATAAATCTTCGAATATGTTTACTCCTGCTGCATTTTTGTATGTTGAGACAGATGAAAGTGAATAAATGACAATGAATTGTTAGTTGGTGTTCGAGAATTCTCGTGAAATTATATTATATATACAGTGTAACCAACGGTAGATTACAAAATTGGACATAAGATAAAAGACTTATTTGAAATGAATTACTTTATAAAAAAAGTCGCCATCTCAAAAGTCCAAACGTCGCTAGAAGTCGCTAAATAATTATATCTCGCTAAAACGATTTTTTTATCCGCTAAACATCATTAAAATCCGCTAGATCTAGCGAGAAAGTCGCTAAAACGGCAACACTGAACCGCGGCCTCCGACGCGCCATTTATAGGCATGCTCCCGCCGCCCCGCTGCCGGCGCGTATATCCCACAATAATCTGTAATATCTTCGAAAATATTGATTTAAATTTATATTATATGCTGTAAAGGGCCATATAGATCTATATTAAATCAACAATGTATTTAAGGTATACATGGGAAAGAGGTGATGATAGAAGCATAATAGGTTTCGTAATTGTGGATGAAAGAATGAGGAGCGCAGTCGTAGATACAAGGGTTTACCGGGGATCCAACGTAGGGACGGATCATTACTTGGTCTTATGTCGAATTAATGGTCTTTTTAAGCCGGCATCGAACATCTGTGTCTACCCCGTTACAGCGTATAAGAATAAAGTTACAAGATGAAGATGTGAAAGATAAGTATAAATGTAGACTGAGAGAAAATATTAGGCGTTTGAATGAGTTGTGTATGAATGATTTAGACCTGAATACTGCGTGGGATAATATTAAGAATGGTTTTGAAAATGGGCCACGTTAGAAATACCCTTAACCGACGAGCATGTATGCGTAGATATATGGATGTAAAGGAGGCGAAAGAGGTATGTCAAGATCGTGCCAAATGGAAGTCCGTAATCTCTGTCTACCCCTCTGGGTGACAGGCGTGAGTGTTTATGTATATGTTATTTTATTTAAGCTATTTAATTGGATAAGGGTTAATGCTGTATTGGTTAAAATCGCTTCGAAAATTAGCCATTATTTGTCGTAAAAAGTAAATGACAAAAAAATGTTTTGTGGGATATCCATAAAAGATAAACATATACCATATATGCAAATAAATGAATTTGATTTGATACCATCGCAGAGTTTTCTGTAGATCTTTTTAATGTGTAAAATACTTATAGTTCATTATTTTGATAAATCTTGTAGGGTTCAGCCTGCGTTTGCAATCTATAAGCGGAAAAAATGAAATTATTTACGACATCACATTAAAAACCTCTAAAATAACAGTATTTCTCCACTATTTAATTTAATGGATGTTATTATACATACAAACCTTCCTCTTGAATCACTCTATCTATTTTAAAAAAAACGCATCAAAATCCGTTGCGTAGTTTTAAAGATTTAAGCGTACATAGGGATATAGGGACAGAAAAAGCGACTTCGTTTTGTACTATGTAGTAGAATTGCTCGTAGGTATAGGATTTATATTTTTGTTTTACTAAAATCTTTTGTTGAGTGCTTCGAAATTAGGAAATATTATTTTCAAACTTCCTGGATATTATCACAAAATAAATCGTGTTATAGATTTGTTGTTATCTCTTGTATATGAATTATAGTCTCTTACGTGTTGGTTATAAAATGTCTAATTATTGTAATAATTGCTACTGTTACAATTCATCAGTGTTATTAGTTTTGCGTGAATAGGCCATTGAGTTATACAACACTAGAGGAGCAAACCACATTATCGCGCGTCGAAAAAAGTGTAACCACTATCCAAACGCGACGACATAGCTTTGAAACTAATAACAATTTTAAATAAACATATATCTATCTCACTTACACACGTTTGCGAAAACAATATCGTGGCTAAGATTAGATAAAGATAGATACACAAACATGCAATGGCGGGTTGGTGTGACTTACTATATGAAATTTTACCTAAAATACGCAATAAAAATGAGTTTTTTTTTAACTGCAGTTAATTGTTTTTATATTAAAAAAGTATATTTTAAAATATTTATTGCGTCTCCTTAGAAAAAAAAGGATACAAAGCTTATCAGATGAATAGAAGTAAACATAATGATGAAGTAAAACATATTTTTATAAGTATTTTTATTGTACCAATAAATCAAACAATATAAAACAGGTAATAAAATATAATTAATATAAAATTTATACGAAATTATAATTAATATAAAATTATTAATATAAAATAGGTAATAAAATATATTCAATAGATAATTCATGAATAAACTAAAAAAAGAATAATTAATTATTTTGTATGAAAGTTAAAACGTAGTTTAAAATTTAGTACAATTTCCGAAATATTTAAAATCAGAGGTAACAAATTAACTTACTCCATTAATTATATAGTCTCCCTCTCATTAGTTATATAGTCTATTAATGTAGGATAATCACAAATGCTGAAAAGTGGCAATATTGAACCTAAATGGCAATATTCGATAATTTTATTTAATTATTTGAGGTTTTTTACGTTTATATAAAAACAAGAACTAAAAATTATGTGTTATTACGTTTTTGTGACCTTGAATAGCATTCTTTCACTGCGAATTTACCCATTTTTTGTCGCGGCTCAACTCTGTTGGCGTCACATTGAACACTGAACTGACGTTAGCTAGGCATATGGCTGTGGCCATATGTGCAGTGGTAACGCTTTGGCGCGGTTATTACTGATCTATATAGTGTAATATATAAATCAATGGAATAGGCGTGTATCAGTATAATTATGTTGCTTCAAATAGGTACCTACTTCTGTTTTGATAAAAAATTCAATAGTGTAATGTAATAAAATAAAACTGCGTTATATTGTAAATTGTAATCAATGTTGACATAATTTATTTCCCAAAGTTATAAATCAATTAAATAGTTTACGCCAACAAATATAACTTATTTTTATAACAATCGTACATAGCGTTTTGTAGTTCTGCCTACCCAATCTACACATACAGAAAAATTAAAAACTTGTTTTTTACATACACGCCATCTAGTGTTCTAGCTTCGTAAACGAAGGGATACGTCTGTGTGTGTAAACGACACTATATTCAACGACAGATGTTATAATTAAAATTTATGATCCATTCCAATAAAATGTAATATCCGTTAACCGCAAAGTCTACTCCTACGACTTAATAATTTTCCAATTACATAAAAATACAATTAAAATAAAAATGTTGACTTCAGCGCCATCTTGCGGGAGAATGGCTGGGAGCAGTCCGTAGGTTTCCCCTTAAGTATAAATAAATTGATCAAATATATGATAACTTGAGGTTTTTGTGTTTATACCATCTAGCGTCGATTGTACTTATCACCTATAGCATGTAATGGCGCTATTACAAATCTCAAATAGAAAATTTTCGGTTCCCAATAGATCTCACAGATTCACAGACTACTGGAGCCCGAAATGATCCATTTGAATGATCGATCCGAATGTACCAATGAAGTTACGAAGTATTATTTTATTAAGTACTAGAATGATTCGGTCGCTAGAAATGAATGTTTGACACATGTCTAACTGAGAGTTTCTTCACGGAAAAGCTCAATAACTGATATTTTTATGGCCCGACCAGGCATTCGAAGCCGGGACCTCATGATCAGCATTCGCGTTTACAACCACTAGAGTAAAGAGACAGTATTGCGATAATAATACACAATAAAAATTAGCAGCGACAAAACTTTCTGTAATTAACTTTGTTGCAAATTGCTGAAGTAATCATATTAAAAAAAATATCTCTACGTTCATCAGGGCGCTGTTACGGGTGGAGTATTCGGTTTGCTGGTAGTTGTGGCAGCTGGCGGTGGAGCTCAATTCGTACAACTGCCGTTACCACGGCTGCCAGTCTCTACAGATGGATGCCCGGCTTCGTATAACATTACTTCACATATGGCCGTCAATCCAAGGTAGGACCCAGATTGTACAAATACATCTTTATACTTATAAATTAGCTTAATTTATTAGATAAATAATAAAAAACAATAAATTAATTGATAGAATCAGGCGTTACTTTGCGGAAATCCATTATAATAAAAAATAAAAATATAAATTTCTTTGCAACTTTCCGCTAAACATATAAAATGATGTGTCTTACCTGGAATGAAGCACACCTCCCGCCCTCCCTCAATTGCATACACTAACTCCGTCACCACTATACCAAGCACCACTACTCTCAACACCACTATTCCTTTACCTGATGATGCCTTGTGTAGAGGCGAAACACGTGTCGTATTATCGTCGATGGTGTGTCTTGCCTGGAATAGTGGTGTTGAGAGTAGTGGTGCTTGGTATAGTGGTGACGGAGTTAGTGTATGCAATTGAGGGAGGGCGGGAGGTGTGCTTCATTCCAGGTAAGACACATCATTTTATATGTTTAGCGGAAAGTTGCAAAGAAATTTATATTTTTATTTTTTAAAAACAATAAATTGCTAACTTGGCATAATACAATAATTTTTGAGTGCAAGTGAAGTTTTTTTTTAAATATTAGTAATCCTATTTATTAACATTACTAATATTCCCTTTAACCACTCCTGGTAAGCTGAAAATGCTTGTGTTAGGAGTGGTTCACGACAGTAGTCGAATGGTGGATTCGAACCCACGACCTTTTGAGTTCGCGGTCCGCGCCCTGCCATTAGGCTACTGTCGCTTCTAACCTAATGGCAGGGTAGCAGTTATATAGTAGCTACCTATACTGTTCTGATATTATACTATGAAAGTTAGTGATTCCCAGGGTATAGCATATATTAATAATATATATTTATATAACCAAAAATCGAACTGAATGTTACTTTAGGATACGAACAGTATTATTACTAATAATAATATTTCTTACAGAGAAAACGAAGGTGAATCAATTTTCTGGCTGTTTCGCGTATCCTATTTGTGGTATACAGGATTGGGTTGCTTAGCGACCCTACTGGCTGGACTGATAACATCCGTAATCACCGGCGTCACAGATCCAGCACAAGTACCGATTGATTTGATATCACCGCCAGTGATCTCATTACTCAATTCATTACCCACAAAGTTGAAAGTAAGTACTATATATAGTTAAAGTACATACGTACTTACTACTACTAGACGTACGCTCTTATCCTTTCTGTGGGTTATTTTTCTTTGTTCACCTTAAGTACCCAAGCAACGACACCACGGCTACTATGCCCCCTACCCTCCGTTACGACCAGCCAGGAACAGCGGAGGATAAGGCGAGAGGCTAATTGCTATACCTACATCACTCCTCCCACCGTTGCGGGGGACCGCGACTCCTTCGCATGACACTGCTGTCCGAGGTAGCCGATGCAAGCAAAGTGGATTCCATTTTATTCAACGTGGACGTCTGCCAGTTCGCGGGGTGAAACTCAATATCATCCTAGGTTCACGACTTAGTACTCCGACTTCACTGTAGGCACTGAGCGATGCGAAAGCTATTGTAATAGAATAGCTCTAACTTAAGATTTGCTTCAATCAGACTTCCAAGGTAGAACTGTAGATATCTTCCACGATCCTGATGAATTGATAAGAGCTAGGCTGGTTTCAGAAACTCCACATTTGAAAGTTAGTTAGTTTGTGTAGTATATGAGTTTTGGTTGTGGTCAGACCAGTAAGAATTTTACCTAATTGTTTGATGTTACCAAATAACGTCGGGAAGTGATCTCGGCGCGGTGGTCTGCAGATGGTAACCGCTGGGCAATCTTGTAAAATGTGAGCCACCGCTTTCTCTAGCTCCATGCATTTTTTTTAATATTACATGAGATAACATAAACACTCACGCCTGTCACCCAGAGGGGTAGGCAGAGACTATCTTTCGCCTCCTTCACATCCATATACCTACGCATACATGCTCGTCAGTTAAGAGTACTCCTAATTTTAAATATTAGTAATCTTATTAATTAACATTACTAATATTTCTTTTAACCACTCCTGGTAAGCTTGAAACGCTTGCCGGATTCGAATCCACGACCTTTTCAGTTCGCGATCCGCGCCCTACCATTAGGCTACTGTCGCTTCTATATGCATTGATGTATATGCTACAACTGTTTTTAAAGTAAAGCTTCTTTAGGGATGCAGGGCACATTTGGGATAGGGAAAAAGCACTGACCTCTTGTGACCGACAGCCGTCATGCTCAGATACATATTATATACAGATGAGTTTATAAGCTAAGAAGTTTTCACTTCTGACGTGCGATCCTACGACTGACAGTTTTTGTTTCTTATCAATGCCATTGCTTAGATACTACCTAAATATTTCTAGGTAATGTACATAGAGAATATAACCACTAAAGAGCGTATAGGCAGATTTCTTCTAAGCACACTAGTCCCCCGGCCCGCAGTAGTGAGTACTACTGCGGGCCAGGGGACGAGGAAGACCGCGTGGCTGCAAATGGTCAAGTTGCGTTATTATGGCTATCGTTAGGGTTGCTCTTCTTAATAAAGGAAAATATTCGATATCGATAAAATGGATTTTATCATTATGAAAAATACTCAATTAAAATCATAGAAATAACATTTAATCAAAATCAATCAGTTACAACGAAAACATGTATTTTTTATAGTACTATTGATTTTTAAAACGAATTAATTTGTTATATTTATTTCGAATTAAAGTTTAAGGGTCCTGATTGTTCGTTGTAAAAAATATAAACAAGCGTCTACATATTTGTAAGTTATGCATCTTGCTAATTCAATTAAATGATTTGTTGATTCTATTTCAAATTGATGAAAATATCCGGGAATCAATAATACCCAATCAGAGATTATAAAACCGATCTTATAAAATAATTGGTATTATATTTCGAAGACAGCACTTTTGAACCATTCTCATTGATCGCCTTCTTAATAAAATTTTTACAACGCCGACAAAATATCTATTACTGTAGTGGATCCGTACAATAACTTGTCTTTAGTATCCTTTTGAAATAGTAAGGCGTTCTGATTTGGTACACCAATCTAACTAATTTAACTAGTTAACTATAACTTTAACTAGGAAAAAATACTGACGAACTGAGAACCTCCTCTTTTTTCTGAAGACGGTTAAAAGTAGATAAGTATTTTTTCACAGTGTGTAAATTGAATAATCTTTTTTTTTTATTATTTTAATTTTATCATTTTCGATATCGACTTTCAGCTATTAAAGGTAAGTAAGGTACTAATGTTTACGATAAACATACAAAGAGAAAGAAAGGGATAGAAGCATTAGAATTGTCTAATAATAGAACGAGACTTTTCCAAAAGACATCAACGCGCGACTCCACCATGTCGTCATTTACCCGGCCACCGTTTTAGATAAACCCCTGCGGTGGCTCATAATCTGAATTAATCAACAATAATATTCGTATTTTTTACTTAGCAATGAAAAGTTACTCCATTCTTTTTGGACATCTGTCCTGGAATGTTTCCCACACCACTTCACTGCGCATGAAGGCATTTTGGATGCATTATAATTGCATAAGTTATAAAAATTTGCATTAATATAGCGTTCACACAGGTCTAACACTTGGACAAACCATAGATAAGAGTGTGGACAATACTAAAATGGTTAATAGTACCATAACCTATATATGCATAGGCGACAAAATACTAATAGTTTTCGAGTGTCGGGGGATTGTATGTGCAGTCAAGTGGTTATATAGTCTTTGGTAATGTATGATACTTATCATCAGTCACATCATTGTCCCGCTGTGACCCTTCGTCACTTGAATTATACCCAATAATTCGTTCCACCTATACCTAAACGGAGTAAACACCTGGTATGAGATGCAGAAAGTGGACGGCTCAGGACCGTGATTTGTAGCATTCCTTGAGGGAGACCGATGTACAGCAATAACCTGGTCTTGAGCTGTAAATGGGTTTTTAGCGGCTCTTACATATCTATTACATTTAAGGCTTCCGAACTTTTTTTTATAAGATAGGGTGACAAACGAGCACACAATCCACCTGATGGTAAGTAGTTGCTGCGGCCCATAAACATCTACATGTATCCTCCATTACGAATCAAAATGCAGATGCGTTGTCTCTACACTCACCATACGAAACACAGTAACGTTAAGCTACTATTTCACGCTGGTATTCTGTGAGAGCGTGGTCCTTCCCCGGTCGAGCCGACCCATTCATACTACAACTATACTACTAATATGGACTAAGATCTAAAACTATGTCAGGTACTTTCTTAACTTAAAGTAGAGAAAGTACCTGACATAGTTTTAGATCTTTTGGTTAAAACTTTTACTTACTTTTTGTTAATTAAGCCTGGTTGGAATCTTGTCACTCATGGTCCATCTTCATATAGATTTTTCAAGGAGTCTGTATATGAAAATCTGTAATTACGTCAGAAATTTTAAAGCTTTTAATGTTAAGGCAGCAAGCGTCGCTTCCAGTTGGTTAAGTTCTGGGCTTCAAGGGACACGGTCTATGTGGTTATCAGGCAGGCTGTTGACACGCAAGCAACATTTGCAATTTACTGTTTATGTGTAAGTGGCAAGCTGGCCACTATATAATTTTAGATACCAACACCTTCACGTCTTTGGAGACTAGACATTTGTCAATCGTGAATTATTCGTGTATATGACACGGGCTGCATCTAAGTATTGATGATTGCAATTACATTTTTTGAATGTTCCGGATCGAACGATTGACAGGACCTACGACCATATATATAGTAATGTTACGCGCTCCAGTCAACGATACACTAGCGCCATCTAGTGTCAGGAACGAGAGCGAGGGGAGCATTGAGAAAATGACATCACAAATTACTCAACCGACAGCGCCTAGTCGAAACTCGAACGCTCGGTACCTTCCGCGTGTTTACTTGAACATTCTGGATATTTCTTTGCTAAATTAAATATATAGGCGCTGCAAGATGCGATGGAGGTAGTATTGAATTGGCGATACGAGCGAAGCTTCGGAGCGAAATTAAGTGAATTAGTGTGTTTAATTATTAGTGTTTTAAGTTTTAATTTGTTTAAAGTAAATTAAAGTGTTAATTTAGGTAATTTTATCGGCAATTTTTATTGTCACGAACCTCAAGCTCGTAACAATTGGTGTCAGAAGTGGGATAAAATCATGCCGATTTTACCTAAGGAGGAAACGGAGGGTGTCCGTACCCGAAGTCAACGCCAGCAGGAGACGGACCAACGAAGATTTGGTGGTGCAACGCCGCAGACGACGGAGGGCCAGCCACCGGCTGCAGGCCCGTCGGTAGCTCCTACATCTGCAGCACCTGACTTAGGTGCTCTGATGGTGATGCTGCAGGAGCAGGCTCGCCGACAGGAGGAGCAGGCTCGCCGACAGGAGGAGCAGGCCCGTCAGTTGAAAGAGCAGCTGCAAAGCGGACAAGAGGAACAGGCCCGCCGGCAGGAGGAACAGGCCCGCTGGCAGGAGGAACAGGCCCGTCGTTTAGAAGAGCAACTCCAACGCGATAAGGAAGAGCAGATGCTCCTCATGAAGGACCTTCACGCTATCTTCGGAAAAGAGATACGGGAGGTGAAGGATAAGGTTGCTCAACATGACAACCGCCTGTCGGAGGCCGAAACCCGAATCGACCAAGTAAACAATCGGGTTGACAACGTAATGGCTGACGTGAAGAAAACGCTGGACCACCTCAAACTTGGGGATGGAACAACAGCTCCCGTAGTAGCTACAACACCTTCGCTACGTGGATTCAAAGTGCCGCCGTTCGACGGTACCTCTTCCTGGTCAGCCTACAAGATCCAGTTCGAGGCTGTTATGAAGGCGAACGGCTGGAATGAAAGTCAGGCCATGACTGCTCTCACACTAGGCCTTGCGCGACCAGGCCTTAACAGTTCTGGAAGCTCTCGGTGAGGAAGTGACTTATGAGCAACTCATTGAGGCATTGGAGGCGAGGTATGGCGACGCTCACCTGGAACACGTCTTTCGTGCGCAGCTTAAAGATCGCGTGCAGCGCATCAACGAAAACCTGCAGCAGTGGGCTCTAGAGGTGGAGAAGCTGGTGCGAAAGGCATACCGGTCTGTACCTGCGCTCATTGGAGGGAACCTGGTGCAGACATTCATCGACGGCATCCGTGACCTGGAAGTCAGAGCTGCTGTGAGGCTCGGGCACCATGAGACGCTTAAGGACGCCTTGGCCCATGCACTGGAGGTAGAAGCCGTGCGGCAGGATCATCGTTCCCATCGCGTCAGGGAGGTTGCAGCAGCTACAGTTCGCGACCGCAACAAAGGATACAGCCCTAGGTGCTATGGCTGTGGGGAAAAGGGCCATCTTCGATCCAGCTGCCCTAAACGAACCGTGGAAAGGAGAGTTGATCGATCTCGAGAGGGTAGTGCAGCTAACGGCACTGCCTGGCGGCGACAGGATCATCGTTCACCTCACGCTAGGGAGGTTACAGCAGTTACGGTTCGCGACCACAATAAAAGATACAGCCCTAGGTGCTATGGCTGTGGGGAAAGGGGCCATCTTCGGTCCAGCTGCCCTAAGCACACCCTAGGAAGGGAAGGTGAACGGTCTCAGAAAGGAAGTGCGGCTAACAGCACCGCCCAGCAGCAGCAGGAATACGACTTTACTATCAGACACTGCAGCGGGAAATCTCACGGCAACGCAGATGCATTGTCAAGAAGACCTTGTCCTGAAGATTGCAACCATTGTAGTAGGCAAGAGAGTAAGGAGGTGGTATCCATGAGGATGCTCAGGACGGACCACCTCAGCAACGAATGGAAGGACAACCTACGACATGCACAGCAGGAAGATCGAGACATCAAGCCGATTCTGGGATGGATGAAAGCCCGTGCTACCAAGCCTAAGTGGAGGGACGTCTCAGCGATGAGTTCAACCACGAAAAGCTATTGGGCCCAATGGGACAGCTTGCTGATTCAGGATGGAGTCCTGTGCCGTAAATGGGACAATGGTCGAAGAGACAGCTGTCGTTTGCAAATGGTTGTCCCTAAAGCTAAAGTGTCGAATGTTCTACAGTTGTGCCATAATGGTCGTTCAAGAGTCCATCTGGGAGTTAAACGAACTCTACTGAAGGTCCGAGAACAGTTTTACTGGGTCCATTATCGTGACGATGTCGAGGATTGGTGTCGTACATGTACAAGTTGTGCGGCCGTGCGGGGACCTCGGACACGTAGTAGAGGAGCACCGAAATTGTACAATGTTGGTGCACCACGGGATAGGACAGCCCTTGACATTGCGGAGCCGTTACAGAAAGGCGCAAGAGGGACTCCTAAGATCGTCCATGTGAATCGCTTGGCGCGTTATTATGGGGCCGATAATGCTCGGGACGAGCATGTCTTAGGAGGGGGCAGTGTTACGCGCTCCAGTCAACGATACACTAGCGCCATCTAGTGTCAGGAACGAGAGCGAGGGGAGCATTGAGAAAATGACATCACAAATTACTCAACCGACAGCGCCTAGTCGAAACTCGAACGCTCGGTACCTTCCGCGTGTTTACTTGAACATTCTGGATATTTCTTTGCTAAATTAAATATATAGGCGCTGCAAGATGCGTTGGAGGCAGTATTGAATTGGCGATACGAGCGAAGCTTCGGAGCGAAATTAAGTGAATTAGTGTGTAATTATTAGTGTTTTAAGTTTTAATTTGTTTAAAGTAAATTAAAGTGTTAATTTAGGTAATTTTATCGGCAATTTTTACTGTCACGAACCTCAAGCTCGTAACAGTAATGTCCGACGACCGACATTATCCAGTGGATCCCACAGATCACTGAAACTCGAAATGATTCATTTAAATAATCGACCCGAATGACCCTGTTCGTAAGATGAATAAATACTTGAATAATCGGGTCACTAGAAATGAATGAATGACCATAACATGTATATTGGAGACCATAGGACGGAAGACTTCCTACACTTGGCCTACCGGTACGATGCTGCCTCTCGAGAACCTTTTTCCCCATCGGTTGTTGGTTCTACGAGCTATATGGCCGGCCCATTATCAGTTCAGCTTACTAATGAGCGTTTTTCCATTTACCGGCACGGCACTGACACGGCGCCAGTGCCGGGCTTTCGTTTTTCCACTGCGCCGGTGCTAGTACCGGTCTACGCTCGGTTTTTGCGCAGTACTAACACGGACTTCGGTTCTTCAACACGTAAAAACGGTCTCGTCAAGTCGTCATATTTATTCGTTATATTTCTTAAATTTAAGACGAAAATGTAATCAACGCAGAGAAGTCAAATTTTGGATTCATTCAATGTTAAAATTAAGATACGTAGAAGGAACATAGTACCCCTATACCTATTTTAAAAGTTGAAAATGGACCCCAAAAAATATTTCAACTAATTCCGCATGAACGAGGAGACATTTCACAAGTCGATTTCGAGTCTCAATCTCAACACGGCTACAATACGTACACACATGCAGTTTTGCCGGCTGGCACCGAGTGGGAAGCTTGCTGTCGCGGCACCGGAGTGGCAGAGGGAGTCATAGCCATGCCCGCGCCGGTGCCGGTAAGTTGAAAAACATTCCATATATTTCATACATTTTACTTCCTCGGGAGCCGGGCCGTTGGAGGCGCCGTGCCGGTGATTGTAAAACCGCGCAATCCGTTGGACTGACTGATCCGTCACTCTGGTTCTACTGCGGATCATCCACTTCCACTGATAAAATCTGATACTTGCTTTGACGATTTTATAGTCTAATACATATTATCATTATTCCTGTTAAGCTTGTTGTCTAAAATAACCCCTCACTGTTCAATAAAGCAATCGTGGCAAAATTGTGCTGAATAATTTTTATTTCTCTAATATACGAAACCTATATTAGCGAACTTCCCTTATTGAAACTAGTATAGCCATTAAGCATATCCGATAATTTACACTTGTAAGCGTTAGGTCGTTAATGACATATACTTACTTACTGTAAGAGTGATGAGAGCACTGCTCCCCGTGAGAACCCCTTTATAAGGTACCTACCTACTACTAGTTTTGCTCACGAACATTGTGGGCATTACTTTCGGTGATTGTTGTTTTTATAATCATCATATAACTATTATTTTTAATTTTACACAAAAACAGAGGATTGCGACGGTCTGCAAATAATTTGAGGAATAGAAACCTATTGGTTTTTACAATGCTGAACTAGGCAACGGACTTTTAAAACTACAAAAAAATTGACAAAAACATAATCCAGTTATTCCCTGTTTCGTTGTCCCTCCTCCAAAATCTGAACTGATTTGAATTTTTTTTAAGAACCAGGTATATAAAAATGATTGTGGCTGTACTTTAATAATCTTTAAAATAAATCGTTCTTTCTTTTATTTTTATGCTCGTTATTTTTTTGCTGGATGTCATATAGATGGGCTTAAGTTGTTAAGTTTTGTTTTGTTAAGTTTAAGTTGCTAGTTTTAAAATTATGAACTTATGGTAAAAATCAGAAGGGGATCATGGTAGTGTAGACATTGGTTATATCGAAAAAACTATTTTCTCTATTGTCCAGGTAGAAAATAGGAGATAAAAAAGGAGGAAGAATAGGCTATGTTTGTATGGACTAGTTTTGATATTAACGTCTTAATAATAAAACTTCTAAAAAGCGAATGCGTGTCAGTGTAACGATAACGGTTCATAATACATCCAGCATGGAAGACAAAATAATAATAGTTTAATATATTCTAAGAAATCAATGATTTCAAAAGGAAGGATAGGCCCTTCTAAATAAATTACTCGTAACTTTTCAATTTTTATGCAAGAAAAAGTAGCGCATCTGTCATAATACAAACGTCATATCAAAACACCACGTAACCAGTATCGGATTTCGTAGTATAATTATCCTATTTGTATCATTATTTCATAGTTTGTAGTAGGTACATAGGATCGTAATAATACAAAGCGAAAAAACCATAATTTTACCTAAAGGTGGACTTGTATTATTATTGGGTTCTTTTAAATTTTAATATTAACCCTACGATATCGATAATTTTTATATTGTACATGAGTACCGCGTTTTTTTAAATAAAATTAGCATTAGCTCCCTTTCTGGTCAATCGATGCTCGATCAATGCACTTATGTTGCATCCTTGATACAACTTTAATAAGGAACTACCAAGATAAAATCTCTAAGCTCCAGATGCAATCTGTTTGAAAACAGAATTTCAAAATATTTTATGAATCAGATGTTCAGATTTAATTAAGCAGATAAGGTTTATTTTGTACTCTTTTCGTTTTACCCTAATTGAATATTAAATATATTAGGTACCAATATTCAAAACTTAACTTACACTAAGTTCGTTAGACAAAAATTAAACAGAAATAAAAATAAAACCGTCAAAAAACGAAATGTATAGATAAACTAGACACGTGACGCCAAAATCTCGGCACATGGGAAAAAGAAACATAAAGCGTCAAACGTGATATAATTTTTTTTAAATAGTATAATTTTAATTTCCATGTACAATATTTTTGATGGACTGAATCCAGCCCTGGCCTAATCTTGGTAACGTAATTAAACTAACTGTAAAAGAAAAACTAAAAATGCGTTTATATAATAATTTAATTGTAACAAAATTAATATAAGGTTGTTTACCGATGATACGATATCCCATGTTTTTTTTTTAAATCTTTGTTTCGTAATTTTTGCATTCTTTTACCACGCAACTAGACATATTTATGACAGGCAAATCTGTCCTGCGCGCGCACTACTGTCGACCGATTCGCGTTGGCCCTAAACTCTAATTCTAGGGCCAGCGCACTGGTCCGTTTTAGTTGTTCGGTTGGCCTGGTCCTTACGCTAGTAATATATAAGTCAATGTAAAAAATAGTTAAGATGAACACGAGTATGAATTATTTCCTTTCAACTGAACTGAAACAAAAAACAATGTCTATAATGTTATATCAATTAAATTGTTTAGAATGTGCTGCGTGTACCGACAAGATTTGGCTCAGAGAGACGTCGAAGTTCAAGCGTACGTCCTCCAAGCGTTGCGAACGACAAGGATACGCGACGGCGTCGGCGCCTTTCAGAACTCGCAGGCGGCGTATTCTACAGTGATACGCCGCTAACACAAGGCTTCGACAATCCTGCTTTAGGTCTCGAGCCGGAAAAATCACTACCCGATGATTGTACTACGTTCACAATTGAATTATCTTCAAACACCCCACAGACATCCACTTGTTGAAGTGGTACAAAGTTAAATGTACATAAAATATATAGTGGATTTAAAAAGCAGTATTACATTTAATTTGTTGACATGTATACATACACCTAAGTCGCATAAAACGCATGTAACATTTTTTAGTTAGTTTTCATGTCTTGCCATGTTCTCTTTCCTGTGTTCTAGAATCTCTCTACTTTCAAAACTAACCTTGTTATTCCATGATCTAACAATCCATAAAATGAGTTTTAACTATAGTACATTCTTTTACCATATCATACCTGAAAATATTTGATAATGGGTATGTTCCGAAATACAACGCAGTGTACTGTCCAATGCAACTGACGTCATGATTTGACGCTATACTGGTGATTCGTTCCAAAACATTGGACAGTATATGACGTCATACTTTTGCGCCATTTGGAAAAGTGTTGGCGATTATTTTGTCATTTTGTGCTCCAAAAATCATTATATCCTCCTAATGGATATACCATCAATTATCCTATAATTTTTTGTATTTGCATAAATAGAAACAAATTCTGGCATGCTTCATTCGGCAAACACACAATTAAAAATTGTTTTATTATGGCCGGATATCCGACACAATATGGCGGCGGCACGCTAGTACAATAAAGTGTCAAATGATACGTCATTTGCATTGGACAGAGTACACTGCGTTGTATTTCGGAACATAACCAATATTTATACCTAAATGTAAACGTCAAAATGGTCCATCCATGAAAGTGAATTAAAAATAAATAATGATAGTAAGTTTAAGCTCATGGAATACGCATTTAATATTAAGTAATAATTATTTTGTTGTTATTATTTTTGACTTTGTATTTAAATATAAATAATGATTAGCAATGTATTATTTTTTTATTTATTTACCACAGTGTAATGAATAATAATTATATCTATAATGTAGGAAGACAAACAAAGTACAGACAGAAACTTACATGTTATGAAATGAAAAAGATAGTAAATGAATCTTTATGAATATTTATATTTATATCTAATAAAATGCAGTTTGTAATGGAATACAACAGCAGAATTATTTGGTTGTCTTCCTGTCAAAAACAAACGTAATTTTAACATTAAGTGCGTAAGCAAAACATTCAGTAAATATAATAACTCTATGCTTAAATATATTCATATAACACCAATTTCACGATAACAGGTCTTGCTGGTGTAGGGTTTGCTGTTGATGAATTTCTTGCATTGTTGACACTGGTAGAGTGGCACTAACAGTTATCGATGGCATACCAGGTAAAGAGACCGGAGTCACAACAGGTAGGCCACTAGACATCGGTGGTAACATGCTTGATTGATTAAAATTACTCATGTCAAAAGTTGGCACTAAATTTGGTGCCTCTTGTGGATAAGTCGCAGACGTCGGTACTTGTGGCTGTGTGTAATTAGCCATTAGAGGAATATATGGTTGAGGTTGATTCATTGGAATACCAGGTAAATTAGGCAGTGGTGCTGGAGGTTGCATATTAGATACAGATGGTATACTGCCTAGATTGGTTAAAGTTGCTTCTGCTATGCCTACAAAAAAATACATTATTAGTCTCAAAAATCTGAAATTAACAAAAATTAATACCCAATTATTTAAACTCACTGCTGGAATAAGTGGCCATATTCGAAACTACAGATTGTGCTTGTAAATGAGGTTGTTGTGACAAAACAGTTTGTGGGGGAATGCTTTCTTGTGAAGTTGCATTAAAGTTTGCTCCCGGATTTACCATCGGGATCCCAGACAAAAATGGAGGTGGGGGATGATTTTGAATAGATCCTTCTTGCAATGCTGAAGATTGGGCATCACCAACCAATGGGGTCTTTTCTTCATTTAAATTTAGATTCTGTATATTTGAAGTTAGACTTTGCTCTACATTAACACTTTGTGATGATACCTAAAAGAAATAATGTTATTTGTCAATAAAGTTAATTCTTTAAGCCCATCTGTCGAGAGCATATCATTAATCCTTCAGAAACATAATGCAGTATGTAAGTAAATAGCACAATATAACAATACTAAATTGTCTATAAACTAATACAGTTACAAACATAGTGACAGTTAAGTACAAGTAGCACAATCTGATACATAAAAGGGTTCAACAATAAAAAAATTGTGTATATTACAAACATGATGACCTTGTAAGGATATCATTGCAATTTATACAAACGTTTTTATAGAATTAAATTAACAATTTTTTTGTCTACGTCATAATTAAAAACAAAAATATACCACCAAACTAAGAAATAATATGTCCTCCAGACTGAATTCTAGTCACGGCAGCCAGTCTCCGCGGAGACTAGCCATCTGCGCAGGACACAATTATAGTGCCCAAGTTTATAGGTTCACTCTCTATGCCCTCACTGTGATAGTCCAAAGGGATGGTAAGCCGACATGGCCGGAGAGAGATCAAGCGCAGGATCAACGGCTTCACGAGTTTTCCTAATAACAGATCTTGAGCCAACCCGGGATTCGAACCCGAGACCTCAAGGTTATCAGTTGCGTTTACGACCACTAGACCAATGAGGCGTAAAAAATAAGGAACTAAGAAATACTTTAATGTCATATATATATATATATATATATATATATATATATATATATATATATATATATATATATATATATATATATATATATATATAATCCATGTGAAAAGCAAGTTTGAATGGCATTTTTATCAACTGTGTTAATTACTTTAATTACAACTTCCAGAAATGAAAAATGAAAGCATCAGAAATAAGGAAAATTATATTTTTAATTATTTTTGGAATTTTAATTATTACATACCAAAATTAAGTTAAGTAAAATATGAAAATCTATAAAAATTGACAAATTTTATAGAATACCATGATAACTCTAGAGCACCCAATCTGATTAAATTTCATGGTATGACATGAATCTTAATTTAATATCCAGTGCTGGTGTTATTGGCAATAGTAATTATTGCAATCTGTTAACCACATAATTTCAAAAATAGAAATATAGATAAAAAAATCTGCTGTTGACTATGATGGTATGGTTCAGGTTTATTATTCTATACAGTAAAAGCTCTTTATCTGCGCTTTCTTCACTCGCGATTTCACTATTCGCTGATAAAAAAATTCCTATATTCGTGGCTAAAGATTTCTTTATTCGCGGATCTAATTAGTACATCGGTATATACATATTAATAAAAGGGATTCCATTAGCTCAGATGAAGTAAAAAAAGGTAGATACAGCGCAGCCTTTATTATTGGTGAAGCTAAAAAACTCCGCTCCTTTATGTAAGCACACGCGTTCACGCACACACATGCTACGCTCATTTTCGCTCAGTACTAGACGTGGGTCGTTACGTCATTTTCAAGAAACGTAACGAAACCAGTGACTTGATCGGCGTAACCTGTTTCAAAACTAGTGATTTTTGTAACTGGCTATTTTTATTCGGCTACTGTGATTGTTTGCATAAATATCACCACCAACTATACAGTTACACACGAAACGAAAATAAATTTAATCACAATCTGTGTTTGTAGCTATACAGTAACTGTATACTGTTAAATCAATAAATTAACTTCCCTTCATACTTTATTCAGATTTAGGACTGACTGCATTAAATGTATTTAATATTGATTTGCGCTTACTATGACACTAAGATTTTCATAAAATTATTAATGCAGGCATATTTACAAGTCAATTTGATTGTATATACAATGATTATTGATATTTACAGTTTATTTACACTTTTTCAACGTTTTCACTATCATTTGTTTTTGCACTTTTATTTACACTGTACAATTAATTTGTTTGTTTGTTTGGCTATACACACACGGCTGTACACAGTTTTTAAGTTTTATAGTATTGTAAACATTTAAATTTTTAAAATTTTTATACACATTTTTTAGTTTTATTTTAATTTTATGAATAAACGAGTTCATGACTCTGTCAAAAATGTTTTAAAAATTATTTTAGTTAAATTCAATGTGACTCGCTTCCCGGAATCGCAAACCGTTGAAATTATTTACAAACAGAGATTACTCTATTTTATTGTCTATGTCTATAGTCTTACGTATGAAAATTAAACGTACAATAATACTGTTACGATGTTTTGTTTATTGTTGTATGCCACATGTGCGCTTTGCGCTCGACCGACCGACAGTCGACTCCCGCAATAATCATGTTTAACAGTAATCATAATCACGCTTTTACAAAAATCACCACTTGTAACATGACTCGAAACTAGTGATTCGGTTACATGCCACGTAGCCAGTTACTGTATCTAGTGACGTGAAATAACGTCCACGTCTACTCAGTACTTCCCGGGGCGTCGTGCAGTAAATTTGTCTACAAAATGCCGGCCTGTGTAGTTAAATGGTGGAAAAATAATACTAAAGTGAACAAAAAGTATGAAGCAATATCCTTTCACTCGTAAACACTAATTTAACTATATTTTAATTTGTTATTCCAACACAATTTTGAAGGTTATTCGAAGCACGAATGTCAATGTTTTGAGATTACGTAACGGGAGAATGTTTCTAGTATTTCTTATTTCTAATGGTCCAAGATTTTGGTAATTAATTTTAGGCTGTTATAAAAATATATGTAGTCAGCATACTTTTTTAAATTAGTTGTTATTATGTTACATCAAATTGAAGTCAAGGTAAATATTGATTTTTTAAGTCGCTGATGTTTCTTTTCTAATTGTTGAGTACTTAAAAACTATTTTACTATCAAAAATATTTATGATTTTAGGCTGCCAACGAATATTTTAATAAGGCATGATTTTTTTTACGTGGTAGAGTCATGCTGCAGTTATACTATTAGTAGTATAGTTATAGCACGAATGGGTCGGCACGATCGGGGAAGGACCATGTTTTCACACAATAGCAGCGTAAAATAGTAGCTTAATGCTGCTGTTTCGTGTGGTGAGTGTAGAGGATCGGAGACCCCTTTTACTGGAAACGAGGCATTCTAGCTTAGTCCCCACGGGTGACAACGCACCTGCATTTTGATTCGTAATCCAGGATATATGTAGATGTCTATAGGCCACAGCAACCACTTACCATCAGGTGGACTGTACGCTCGTTTATCACTCTATCCTATAAAAAAATGAAGGGTAGCTGCTATAAGACTGAGCTGAAATGAACCAAAATAGCAGCTATCCTCTTGACTTGACAGTGGTAGAGCCACGCAGCGGCTATTGATGTCGCATGGTTGGGTCATCCTAAACCGGGGTGGTACCATGACCTCACAGAATACCTGCTTGAAGTAGAGGTTTACCTCTGCGTTTCGCTTGGGCTGGAGGCCCAAATCCCCCTCCCCCTTAACATCGTAGCGGAATCAAATAACAGCTACCCCAAGAGGGTACCCTCACTCCTGGTCACACTTCATTCCAATCTTAATTCACTACCACCCGGATACGGCGAAGCCGGCCTTGCTCTTTTTAACCGAGACTCAGGTGTCCTCTCCGGCTGATACTTCATATCTCTCCCACGCGGGGTACAAATTAGAACACTCCTTTGTGCCCCCGGCTGGAGTTTGTTCTATTTTGCGTTTACTAAAATATTATTTTTTTCATTTAGAAAATTATATTTTTTTTTGACTTTTAAATGATCTACAGACGCCTCCTACGAGCAATTCTTGAATATATATAAAAATATATATATATATATATATATAATAATCTCGGAAACTAGTCAAACGATTTTCATAAAATTTAGTGTCCAGGGGATTTCAGGGCCAATAAATCGATCTACCTAGGATTCATTTTTAGAAAAAAATGTCCTTTTGTCCGTGTTTTCGGCAATGAAAAACTGCTACAAAATAAGGGAAATTTTGACAGCGTATTAACTATCGTAATAGCTCGAGTAAGATATAGTAGGTAGTCGCTAAAACGGAGTGCCCCGGTTCGCGTCCTGTCTCTGGTCCGACTTTTTTCCTTTTTTTTGAAGTTCCCTTCATTTGTGAGAAAATCTACTATTTCGAGCCTTCTTTTAGCATTTTTTTAAAAAATACGAAAATTTCAATTAAACTAATTGCACTCATTATTTTTTATTCAAATAACCAGTTTAGTTTTTTCTATTATGTCAATAAGATCAAAAAATATTATTGATATTCCATCAGTATGTAATTTATATCTAAATATAATTTCCAAAAAAAAATACCGAGGAAAGCTCGGTTATCCATGTACTTATAGTTGTAGTATTGTATCACGGTTTTCAGGGAATTTAATAAAAAAAGTGGCAACACTTCTCTGACTCACACAAAGTTATAAAATTGGTTACAGTTTCTTGTTCTAGGTGCGATATCTACCTTTTTTTACTTCATCTGAGTCCAATAGGTATACAATCCAATATAAAGGATATTAAACGCGTTGTCAAATGGACTAATAAAAGTTAAATAGACCTTATTACAACTATGCCTAAAGTATGTTGTTAAATGATATCGCCGCTATATTGGTTCGGCCTTTGACATAAGCCGCGTTCGCCGCGGTCGGTGTATTGAAAATGTAAACAAACAGAATGAAAGCAAACTTATTACTTATTGCATAAAGTATATTTTTAAATGCTACAAATATAAGATGTTCCGTCCTTTGGTAAGAGACGCTTTACGTGTTTTATTGTTTCATTTTTCTATTCTTAACAAAAATTGTGATGGAGTAACATGTCTCTTCCGCTCTCTTCCTTATTTATAATGTTGACTAAAAAAATTTGGTAAGAGCTGCTTTGCGTGTTTAATTGTTTCATCTTTCTATTTGTTACAAAAATTGTGATTGAGTAACATGTATCTACCGCTGTCTTCCTAATTTATAATGTCGACTAAAAAGAATAAAAAACGAGTTTCTACATAAATCAACATAAACATAAAAGAATCCTTGGAAGGACTGTAGCCATACACATTTAAATCATCCTGAAAAAACTGACCTGACCTATCTGCGGAAAATGACGAAGAATATGTGCAAATTCAAGCTTTGACTGCAAACATAAAAAAATATATTTGATCAGATAGAATCAAGTGACATTCCGGAGTTGCTTGAATCGCAAGATAAAGATTTGACTGAAACTGACTTGGAGGAAATATTAAATTCACAGCCCATTGAAGAAGAGACTTCAACAAACACTGGAAATGTGACATTTAATTTTAAAAATTTTAGTGAAGGTTTAAGAATGGCAAATGAGCTTTGTGATTTCTTTATGAAAATTGATCCGTCTATAGAACAAAGTCTTCTTTTTAAGAGACAAATTGCTAATGCCACTGCTGAATATCAGTCTGAATTGAAGGAGCCTTAAAAAATTGCCAAGCAAGAAAAAATTACAAAATTCTTTAAACCATTGAACTACTAAACCAACTTTAACTTTTTTAAGTTAAAGATACTTCAGGCTTAGACAATGGTTTAAGACTAAGTAAAAAACTTCAATTAAATTGATTTTCTTATATATTTGTCTTTTATTTGGTCACCTAGGAACATATCCTCTATTATTATCCCATATAAATCACCCTTCCATATTCATGATTTCTGTATTCGTGGCATATTAACAGAACATGTACCCCACGAATAAAGAGCTTTTACTGTATCTTTAATTTATTAAATAATTGTTTAACTTCAATAAAGTTTAGCTATTACAGTAGTAATTTTTAGCTATTACAGTAAAATATGGTGGTAGCTAAAATCTTCACTGCTTTAATTTTAAGTTAATCATCATCATCATAATTATGGCCCTTCATGAGTCCACAGCTGAACATTGGCCTCCCCATGGAATGTGCATCAACTTTCTAAATGTTTTATCAGGTTGTTACTACTACGCTACCAAAACAATTAGGCGCATTCTGAACATGGCGGCTTGAGGACTAGTGAGGGGAACACTTTCATCTGTATAATACCAGGTGATACATAGTATGAGTACTAGTATATACTACTCGTAGTTATTTATTTTAATTAATTACAATAGCTACGTTTGTGAATTTAACTGCATCATAGTGTTATGTATCGACCACTAAAACGAAAATAAGTGAATGGTTATTTTCAGTCATTACGATAGGTATGGTATTTAGAATTTCAGAAATTTTGGGAAAAGAAAATTCTGAAATTAGGTCAGCAATGCCTATTAGGTAAGTTGATTTTAGGATTTTTTAGATCGGAGGTACTTATTAGACACACAATTTATGTTTATTATTAATAATTTTAATGAATTTAATAAACGACAGAAAAGTGACTACAGATAACGGGTCAAGGTTTTAAAAGTGCTCTCAAAGCGCCCAGCTGATGTGTGACGGTACTTATTCTGAATCAGTATCTGACTCCAATTCTTCAATCCCCGAAATTCTTTCAAAATCTGATGTATCATCATCACTGTCGCCATCGTTTATATTTATTATTAGTTCTCTGGCGTCTTGTAGTCCTTGTTTCTCCCAGTACTTCTGCCGTAACCGGTCTACATGGTTAATTTGCTTTTTCCAATCAGTTTGCGTAATTGACTGTATGGCCTCCCTGGTTAAAGATTCGATAAGTCTTTCTGACTGTTCCACATTTTTGTCGGCAATCCTTTGTTTCATTATGTTCCAAATATATTCAATAGGGTTTAAGATCACACTGGTACAGCGGCAGTCTGAGAACTTCGTGGCCGCTTTCCCTCAAAAGTTTGTCTACTAAATATTCTTTTTCTGGCCTGTTTCGAATTATCAAGTAATACAACTCTGGCTTTGTCATGCGGGCATCGAACACAATATTTTTTGAAGTCAACCAGTTTTGCATTTCTTCCTTGCGAGATGCCATTGAGGGAGGCTTATTTAATTGTTTGCTATGATATGGAGCATTGTCAATAACTACAATGCTGTTGGGTGGCAAATTTGGGATCAATTTTTCACTTAACCATTTTATTTTAAAATTAGCTAATGCCCCTTCTATTCACCCGTTATTTTTTAAGTTCATATAATATGAAATTTAGATTCCAATACGCATGTCATGTTAAAAAGGTACGTGAAAGAGGATCAGAAACAAGTCAGAAAATCCATTCAAAACCACTCAAAATACTTTTGTTATATATAACCTATATAATGTTGTTCCTTACACTCGTATGAGTGTAAGGAACAACATTATATAGGTTATATATATAACAAAAGTATGTTTATCGTATGAGCAACATACTTTTTGAATCATTGAAATCGGTCCATTCGTTGTGTTGTGATGATATTACACGTTTTATAAACGACTACCGCGGGGCGGCCTAAAAGCCCGTGTGACGTCACAACATCTGATCCCGCCTTCAAGTAAGTGAGGTTTCTACCATGAAGATAGAAGCTAACATAGGTCACTTTACACAAAACCGGTTTCTAGTTTATTTTTATAACTCATTATTATTATATCATCGAACTAATTAATTATTATTACACATCAATTTCTAAAACTACCCTTATTATTTGTCAGACGTGGTGAAAAATTTTTTTACTGTATATTCTAGTTTCTCAAGTTCTATGAATCTGTATTCATAACTTAATCTTGATTCTTCTTCAATATTAGTAACCTAGTAACGAAACGACGGCAACACTGTACCGCAGAAAGTAATTATTGCGCGTCACTGTGGGACGTGCGGGATGAGGTGCGGGGTACAGGGCGCAGTAACCGCATTCCTGTCATGCGCCTAATTGTTTTGGTAGTGTAGTACATCTAGTGGGGGCCACCTTACATTTTGCTTACATGTACATGTCTGTCACTTTAGGACCTTTCTTCACCATCAATAGTCGGTGAAGGACTATGTTTCGAATCCATTTTGTATCACTAGCAAAACACACTAGTGGTACACTCTTGTTTCTAAGTGTTTAGAATATATTATGACAAGCAGATGTGTCCTAATCTCATGCATGCTGCCTAGCTAAGTTGAATTGATTAACTAATCTCTTGTTCACAGTGGGCCTTATCCCAGTGAGATTATTTAACCTAGGTAAACATACTCATTGACAACTTCAGGCTTGGACATGGACATTAGGTTTGACATGGACATTAATTAAACAATATGACTTTTATCTTATCCATTTCTTTTAATTGGGAGATGCTATTGAGATCTTGATTGTATTATTAGCAAATCAAAGATGAGTAATGTACTCACCATTGTTGACACTATATCCTTTCCAGGCTTGAAAACATCTATTATTGCAACAGTGAAGTGAATAGTGAAGTGATAGCTATCATATTTTGGTTCTGTACTCGGATAGCCATTTTAAACTTACCGTACTAACAAAAAAGCAAGTGAACTTTCAAAAAACTATAAACATCAATTAATACATACCATTGGAGTTGTCACACTGAAGGGTTTTTGATTAGGTGCAACAGAACTGTTTCTTATGGGAATCCTGTGGAGATAACCATAGCCAATACCACACCCAAGGCTACCCTGTCCTCCCCAATTATGATTGGGAGTAATGTGGACTTCTCTGCATGTATCATCTGAAGTGTTATATACAAAAAGCTTTAAAGCCCTTCCTTCATGGGCTTCAATTAACGTAAAAAGATCTTCACTTTCATGCATAATTGAATCTGCACCTATGATATAATCTGTAAAAGGTTTTAAGCCAGCTATTTCCGCTGGTGAAGAAGGATGTACTTCCTGAAAACATAGATAGTGAATTATTTTCACTACAAACATATTTCAATTTTAGATATTTCAAACTAAACCAATTATATATTTACTTACCAAAACATGCCATACATTTTCATTAGCACCTTCAAAAGAACAGAATCTTATGCTTACACCAAGAAGTCCCTGTCCTCCCCAACTAGAGCTTGGTGTTATTAACACTTCTCGTACCGATTGAGTTTTACTACTATAAATAAGCATTTTGATAGGCTTCTCAACATTTTTCTTTAATAATTCTTTAAGAGTGTCATTATCTTGGTCTAATCTTATATTTTCTATTGCTACAATGAAGTCAAAAAATGGCTCTAAATTAGCTTTTTGTCCTGGAGAACCATCTTGAACCTGTTAAAACAGAATAATGTTGCATTGTTGGTTAATTGCAGGATTTTGGTCTTAAAACTTTCTTAACAAGTTACAATCCTAATAAATTTTAAATTTATAATATAATAATTACAAACCCGCAAAACATGATATCCTTCTGAACCGCCTCCTGGCACTTCGGCACTTTGATTTGAACCCATTGAAGACACAAATAAATAGAAAGAACTACGTAAAAAATATTTAAAAATGTTATGATTTACAATTTTTTTTATGACAGTCGTCAAATCAGTAGTTTTGAAGTTGACATTTCGATTTTTTTGCTACGTTGGTACGTAGATTACGTGGCATGCAATTCTTCATAATTTTTTGTTACTCTATGTCAATTCTCTTTTTTTCTTATTTAATCTTTTTACGTTTTATATTATAATCGTTTTCAAAAAATAGCAAGTACACGAGTTTCATTTATAACTATCTCAGAGATCAGAGTAAGTAGAAGAGTAGAGGCAATCCTAAAATAAGAACTTAATTCTTGTAGTTGAAGTTGAACCATAGAAGTGTATAAAACATTTATACGTCTATACGTTGAACACTTTATGCTTATATGTGTGCGACATAATGTTAAGGAACAATATATGTCATATGTCTATACGTAGAGAGAGATATGAAGCGCACATGAGTGAGTTGTGTGTGTTGTGTGTGTGTGTGTGTGTGTGTGTGTGTGTGTGTGTGTGTGTGTGTGTGTGTGTGTGTGTGTGTGTGCTTGTGTGCATTGTGTATATGAGTGAGTAAAATTAGTTTGTATGTGTTTAGATATGAGTCTTAGTTTTAATTTTAGTTAGCTCTGCGACAATATAAGCCAGGCACTGCTTCCTCCACTAACATTTTCGTAACTGAGGTTATATCGGTTTCTAGATAGATTATGATAATGATGATACCATTGCCTCAATATCAATGTAGGTTTTAGTCTTAAGCCATTCAATGACAATTAATTTACAGTCACGAGGTTTTAGAGGATAGATGTTCAGCTCTTTATTCAATTTGTTGTATAAGTGAGAAGACTGCCTTGTATACTGCCTCTTAGCAAAAACAGATCTAACTGGCACTATAGGAACGATCAAGTAGTTTCTTCTGCTATATCCCGGACGTCAAGAAGGAAGAATTTTGTACGTTGACCTTTTATTACCAGTCTCTGTCACTCCCGCGTAAGTATAACGCGTCTCGCTCGCACAGATGCAATGACCTCCGTCCTCAGGGATTGTAAACATTTTACCTGAGACTATAAGGTTTGTTCTTGTTTGCACGTGGTTTTTGTTAGGCCTTGAGGCATGAACAAAAATCCTTAACATAATTAATAATTTTAAATAACGAACAAACGACATTCCATCTGGGGATACATTAGTGATTGCTCAGTTTTCGGACACAGTTATGTCTATCTATTCTTAGTTTGTTTTTGTTTGTTAATTTTAGTTATCTTGTTTTAATTGTTAAGTAGTTTTGTCAAGTTTAATGTAGACAAAACTGTTGATTCTTTTGTAATAAATGTGACAGACGGGACGTCATCGGAAAGCAGTAACTTCGGTACAGAGAAATTTGATTCCGAATTTTGAATTTTCCTTTTTTTATTTCTGCCAAATTAGTAATTGTAACTCGAATACATCAAAGAGGTACGACCTCTCTGTGGAAACTATCCAAAATGAAAACCACGCGATTCGGACTACATGGGGCCTCAAAAAAGATACCCTTTCTAAAAGGCCGGCAACGCACCTCAATCCCCTGACAGCTTCTTCTTTCGAGTTCAGCAAAACGATGGCAGTATCATCCGCGTATGAGAAGATACGACCTCCATCGATAGTCAATTTACATAGGTTATTAAAAATTAAAAATGTTTATTTCTATTACACAATGTTTTAACATACATGATCTGGAGAACACCTTTTAAGCAAGGAGATGCTTGTGTTAGGTGACTCCGCTCAACTTATTTATTAATATATATAAGGAACAATGTCTGAGCAAGGACACTCTCCTGCCCAACACCGTACGAAATTGTTTCTTCTGAGCCAGTAAGTTCCCCTATTTTAACTATTTGTTTGCGATTACTTAGGTAGGATTTGAACAGCTCGAGAGGAATTCCCCTTATGCCTATGTTTTCGAGCCTTTGTAGAAGTATGGGGGCAGATACTGTGTAGAAGGCCTTTTTGAGATCAAGGAAAACTGCTAGACATTTGCTACCCTTATCCTCAGTACACCTTCCCTGCCTAAATCCAACCTGAGAAGGCGACAGAATGCTATAATTAGAAAGATATCTAATTAGGCGTGAGTTTATTAGTCTTTCTAGAACTTTCGAGATAGATGGCAATACTGAAATTGGCCTATAGTGTGACGGGTCTGATCTGTGTCCACATTTGTACACAGGCGTTATTAGGGCTAGTTTCAATGCATCCGGGAAAAGTCCCTGATTTTAAGCCCATTAGTGTAGCATGTACTTCACCAGAGTCTGTGTCGAGGAGAACAAAAGATGTGGCCAATGTATGAGCAGATAAGGATATTTATTATTTATTGTAAAAGATCAAGTTGGTGTGATATTATCCGCAAAAAGCTTTCCTATGTTAGAAAAGAAGCTATTTACATTGTTAATAGAGTTCTGTGGAGTGTTGGATAATTCTGGGAGTTTCAAGCTATTATTATTTTTAGGTTTTCGCTGTGTAATGTTGTTAATGGTCTTCCACGTTTTTTGGATTTTTGTGTGCTTTAGTAAGTTGGTCTTTATCATATTTACGTTTTTGTTTTTTGGTGATGTAGTTGCAGTAATTTCGGTACCTTTTGTAGGTAATTTTTAGTACCTCATTGAAAGGATCAAGTCTCAGTCTCCGTTGCATGTTATTTCTGCTTTGAATACAACGCAATAATCCAATAGTCATCCACGGCTTCAGGGTTCTATTTTTTAAAGCGATCACCGTGGTTATAGTACTAAGAATGATTCAGTTATGAAAAATTTCGATTAAATTATAGGTAAGTATGTTTGGGTTCGTCAGTTGCAACAGGTCAGTTATGTTACTATTTTTAAGTGTTCGAGCCCTTCGTAATGTTAAAAAATGAATTTGTTTTAGGAGGTTTTATTACGTCTGTTTGCTTTGTAATTTTTAGGAAAGTCATGAAGTGATCAGTAACAGTTGTGTGAATAATTGCAATGACCACGGTTTTGCTGGCAGGTTTAATTTTATATTAATATGGTCTAGACAGTTTTTTCTTCTCGTGGGTAGTGAATGACCAGGGTGAAGCCCATGCAATGCTAACATATTGAGATAATTAAGCGCTCATGTGATTGCTCGCCTTGATTTCATATCAGATTTATATTAATGTCACCAGATATAATTAAACATTTTGTCGATTTAATGGTAGTAAGGTTGTTATTTAAGGAATGAATAAATTCGTCAGCGTTTGTGGTTGAGGGGGACCGATAAATCGCTATGACTTTAAGGTCAGGTGAAATATGGACCTCCAAGCAAGACGCGTGAGTAAGGTTTATTTCTCTAATTTTATACTTATGTGAGATTTTAATATAAGTGACCACTCCATCAGCTTTATTAAGATAATTAGTAGATTGGTGTTAATTGTAGTTGGTTAAGTATAATAATGTCCTCCAGACCGAATTTTAGTCACGGCGGCTAGTCTCAACGGAGACTAACCATCGGCGCAGGACGGGATTATAGTGCCCAAGTGTATGCGCAACCATAGGTGCACTCTCTATTTTGCACCCTCACTATCCGATGGAACGGTAAACCGACACGACCGGAGAGAGATTGGGCGCGGGGCCAACGGCTGTTCGTGCTTTCCGAGGCACGGGGGTGAGAAACCGCCAACTTCCTGACTCCGGGCAGCTACAGAGAATTTCTTGACAGAAAAATTCAATAATTGATTTTTTGGCCCGACTCGGGATTCGAACCCAGGATCTCATGATCAGCAGTCACACTACTACAACAACTAGACCAAGGAGGCAGTCAGTTGCTTAAGTAATCAGGTACATAATAATTGTATATTTGCATAGAGGAAATCTACGAGTACAATTCTGCATAAAATATCAGTATAATTGTCTCGCTATTTCTAATTTAATTTTCAAGCAAGGCTAAAAGAATCGTATAAAAAGATATTGCGTGTGATTCATGTGGAGAGTTTGAAATGTTAGGTAGTCACCATAAACTAATAAGAAGTAGTAAGTTGTCAACATTTGATTTCTTTAGACTACGCTAAATATGAGAGTAAATCACTGTTATCTTCTGATTTACAAGAAACGTCATCATTATTTGGTTACGTAAAGGCTTAGTATCAAGTTTCCTTAATAGGGGAAGGGGGTAAGGGAAGGGGGGTGGTAGTAGTACTTTTTATATTAAATGTTAAAAGATCAACATTTTTGTTGAATGATTTCTGCGAAAAATCTCCTTAATAGGGAGGTGGGGGAGGGTGTCGCCCCTCCGCTGAAGTAATAATAAAGTGTAGTTGACGAAAATGACCACGAAGGGCACGGCGGGGTCTATTCGCTTGCTTCGCTCGCTCACTCGAACCCAATATACAGTAATCTATGCTCGACCATATCTATCCCCTTCTAATCTAACCTGTTCGAGTCGGGGTGCCCCAAGTCCCGAGCTCGCTTCGCTCGCTATTGCACGAAATAAAGCATCAAAATGTTAAGAGCTATATTAGTAGTATAGTTGTATCACGAATGGACCCTATCACTGTGTCCAAAGATGAGATTTCATCAATCATTAATGGACTAAAGCCCAAAAAAGCACCGGGCGCGGATGGCATCTCCAACCAAGCCCTTAAACATTTTCCGGAGCAGGTGATCGCCTTATAGGCCATAGTCTTCAACGCCTGCTTCGACTTCAGCTATTTTCCCACCTCTTGGAAAGAGGCAACTGTCATTGGCATTCCCAAGCCAGGCAAACCTCACCACCTCCCCTCCGATCACCATCCCATCAGACTCCTCAAAGCCATGGGCAAACTTTTCGAAAGAGTTATTCACATACGCATGATATGCCATCTGTTTCCCACAGACGGTGACCCTCATGTCATCCCTCAACAATTCAGGTTCCGAGCCAAACACTCGTACCCCCAGCAAGTTCACCGTATTGTGGAATATATCCTCAGCGGTTTTTATCCTCGTCATCAGAATATCATCGTGGTCTTTTTAGACGTTACCCAG